TCCTCTGCTTGAGTGGCTGCACTGAATGCCCCTCAGAAGCCCCAGGGAATGGCACAGTGATGGGCAGACGGGCAGCCTGTCCGTCTCTCTCTGCCTGTCACCCAGACACTCTCCAACTCCACCCAGCCTGGCCAGTCCGTTCCTCAGGTGGCTCAGGCACTTCAGTATACAGTGGTACCTCGGGTCAAGTACTTAATTTGTTCCGGAGGTCCGTAGTTAACCTGAAACTGTTCTTAACCTGAAGCACCACTTTAGTTAATGGGGCCTCCCGCTGCTGCCGTGCCGCCGGAGCACGATTTCTGTTCTCATCCTGAAGCAAAGTTCTTAACCTGAAGCACTATTTCTGGGTTAGCGGAGTCTGTAACATGAAGCGTATGTAACCTGAAGCGTATGTAACCTGAGGTATCACTGTACCTGAAGGAGCGGCTCCACCCCCATCCTTCAGCCCGGACACTCCGGTCCAGCTCCGAGGGCCTTCTGGTGGTTCCCTCCCTGCGAGAAGCAAAGCTACAGGGAACCAGGCAGAGGGCCTTCTTGGTGGTGGCGCCCACCCTGTGGAACGCCCTCCCACCAAATGTCAAAGAGAAAAACAACTACCAGACTTTCAGAAGACATCTCAAGGCAGCCCTGTTCAGGGAAGCTTTTAATGTGTGACATTTTAGTGTATTTTTAATATTTTGTTGGAAGCTGCCCAGAGTGGCTGGAGAAACCCAGCCAGATGGGTGGGGTACAAATAATAATTTATTATTATTATTATTATTATTATTATTATTCTGGGCATGGAAGCAGAGGAAGTAGGCCAGATGTCAGAATCACAGAACTTGAGAGTTGGCAGGGGCCCCACGGCTGCAGGATCTGATTTCTTTCCGCAGGGCCTGTAAGACCGAGTTGTTCCGCCTGGCCTTTGGCTTGGAATCAACTTGATCCCCTTCCCTTCTTTCCTTTCTCCTTCTGTGATGGAACTCCTATTTGGGGACTTCCCTGGCTTTTTTCTGGCCCACCCAAGACTTGACGTTTTCATCCGCCAAAAAGTTTTTGATTTGAGTTTCTACTGAATTGAGGCTGCATTTTAATGTTGTATTTTAATCTTGTTTTTAAGTTGTAAAGGTAAAGGGACCCCTGACCATTAGGTCCAGTCGTGGCCGACTCTGGGGTTGCGGCACTCATCTCACTTTATTGGCCGAGGGAGCCGGCATACAGCTTCCAGGTCATTGTGGCCAGCATGACTAAGCCGCTTCTGGTGAACCAGAGCAGCGCATGGAAACGCCGTTTACCTTCCCGCCGGAGTGGTACCTATTTATCTACTTGCACTTTGATGTGCTTTCGAACTGCTAGGTTGGCAGGAGCAGGGACCTCACCTCGTCGCGGGGATTCAAACTGCCGACCTTCTGATCGGCAAGTCTAGGCTCTGTGGTTTAACCCACAGCGCCACCCACGTCCCTATTTAAATTGTATTTTAATCAACTGTTTTTATACTTGGTGTTAGCTGCCCTGAGCCTGGCCTTGGCTGGGGAGGGCGGGGTATAAATAAAATTTATTATTAATTTATTAATTTATTATTATTATTATTATTATTATTATTTAGTATTCAGTTCAACCCCCTCCAATGCAGGAATCTCAAGTAAATCATCCATGACAGGTGGCCCTCCAACCTCTGCTTAAAAACCTCCAAGGAAGGAGACCTCTGTTCCACTGTCCAACAGCTCTTACTGTCAGAAAGTTCTTCCCAGCGTTTAGCCAGAATCTCCCTTCTAGTAACTTGCCTCCACTTTTCCAGGCTAAACATACCCAGATCCTTGGTCATCTTGGCCACCCTCCTCTGTTAGACTTCTTCACCAGCTGAATGTATGCAGCGACTGGGGCGTTAAAAATAATAGGCTGCTCACAATATACTTGCTTATTTCTATTTTTGAACATATAATAATCAAAGAGCAGCAACTCACCACACCTCACAGCTCCACAACAGCGCTATACAAAACACACGGTCAGCTTAAATACAGTTTTCAAATAATCAATTACCCTACCACATTACTGCATTTTGTGTAGCAGTTAAACTCCCCCTCTAATTATTTAAATTGTCAAGAGAACACAGGTTTGTTGAATTGTCAAGAGCTCACAGGTGTGTTGCCATTCAGATCAAGACTACAAACATGCTTCTGAGTAGCACCATTGGCCACCTCAAGATTAAGAAAACCCAACATCCTCTGCACACCTTCCAGCTTGTCAACATCCTCCTTAAATTGTGGAGCCCAGAATTGGACACAGTATTTCAAGTGAGAGCAGTACTATTGCTTCTCTTGATCTGGACACTAGATTTCTGTTGAGGCAGCCCAGAATAGCATTAGCTTTTTTTGCTGCTGCATCACACTGTTGGCTTGTGGTCTACTGTTGTTGTTGTTGTTTAGTCGTTTAGTTGTGTCCAACTCTTCGTGACCCCCTGGACCAGAGCACGCCAGGCCCTCCTGTCTTCCACTGCCGCCCGCAGTTTGGTCCAACTCATGCTGGTAGCTTCGAGAACACTGTCCAACCATCTCGTCCTCTGTCGTCCCCTTCTCCTTGTGCCCTCCATCTTTCCCAACATCAGGGTCTTTTCCAGGGAGTCTTCTCTTCTCATGAGGTGGCCAAAGTCTTGGAGCCTCAGCTTCAGGATCTGTCCTTCCAGTGAGCACTCAGGGCTGATTTCCTTCAGAATGGAGAGGTTAGATCTTCTTGCAGTCCATGGGACTCTCAAGAGTCTCCTCCAGCACCAGAATTCAGAAGCATCCATTCTTCGGCCATCAGCCTTCTTTATGGTCCAGCTCTCACTTCCATACATCACTACTGGGAAAACCATGGCTTTAACTATACGGACCTTTGTTGGCAAGGTGATGTCTCTGCTTTTTAAGATGCTGTCTAGGTTTGTCATTGCTTTCCTCCCAAGATGTGGCCTATGAAGACACCCTAGATACTTTCTGTATGTCCTGCTGGCAAGCCAGGTGTCCCCCATCCTATATTTATCCATCTGTCATGGGTGAAGCATCTTCTTGGCAGTCTCAATTCCATCTTATTTCCCTCCCCTTCCCCCACCTGTTGTTCTTTGTCAGGCCTCTGGTCCAGGACCAGGACCAGGAAAAAGACCTTATCCTAAGGTCCACCTTGCTCAGTATTGTGCAGCCTTGACTGGCAGGGGCTTGCCAGGGTTTTGGGCAGCCCAACCTGGCTATGTCATGGCTGGCTGGGTTGACGGGAGTTGTAGTCCAGGCTGGAAGAAGTCCCACCATTCTTTCTGCCTACCCAGAACCTTTTGCACTGGGCGCAACACAATCCCAAACCCTTTCAAATCTGTTGTTGCTATTGACACCTGTCTGTCTCAAGAGGCAATGGAGTGTGCCTCCAGGGATGAAGCTAAAATGCTGTGCTGGTAGCACCAAAGTGATCTCCCCAGGGTGCAAGCCTGGGTAGGGTGCTTGGAGGTCCTGGGCTGTCCAGATGGCAAGACCCCTCTTTTGACCTTGATGGTGTGGCCCAAAGGAAAGCAGAACAAGATGTTTGGCACCAGCTGGGCTGCCGGAAGGAGGCGTACACGGCACCACCCAACCGCCTTAGGGACTCCCCTCCCAATTTGTGTAGGGTTTACTCCTTAGCCTTTTCTTTCCCCCAATATATTCCCCACATAGGGAGCTTAGGGTAGGATAGGAGCGTCTCCAGCCCCATCGTTCCACCCGGACACTGAGGTCCAGCGTCGAGGGCCTTCTGGCGGTTCCCTCCCTGCGAGAAGTGAGGTTGCAGGGAAACAGGCACAGGGCCTTCTCGGTGGTGGCACCCGCCCTGTGGAACGCCCTCCCATCGGATGTCAAGGATATAAACAACTACCTGACTTTTAGAAGACATCTGAAGGCAGCCCTGTTCAGGGAAGCTTCTGATGTTTGATGCTTTATTGTATTTTTAATATTTTGTTGGAAGCCGCCCAGAGGGTCTGGGGAGACCCAGCCAGATGGGCAAGGTATAAATAAATTATTATTATTATTATTATTATTATTATTATTATTATTATTATTATTTATTATCATCATCATCATTATTAGGTCACGATATTTCCTTCTCCTAGATAGGCTCCCCTCCCAGGTAGATAAGCTACCCCCTGCCCCCCCCCACTTCCCTTTACAGAACGTACAGAAACTGCCTTCTTGACCACTGGACCGCTCTTGGTCTTGTCCCCTCCATCTGCCGGAGCCTGTCTTCAATCCTTTATTACTGCGCTTTGCTTTACCTAGGTCCAGCTAGGATTATAATACGTCAGAATTTTGGGGGTTCTTCCCTTGTTTGAATTTTGGTCATTTAAAGTTTATGATTTTTCTATTTCCTTCTGAGGAAACAGAAAAGTTCAGTGGAACGAGGTTTGTAGCAGGCATCCCGTTAAGGCTTTGTTCTATTTTAGGTTTTTCTAATAAGCTTTTTGATTTTTATTATTTAGTTGATTTCCACAAGATAATATTTATAGTCGATTACTTCTCGTTTCAGGGATTTTCACGGTACAGTGGTACCTCGGGTTAAGTACTTAATTTGTTCCAGAGGTCCGTTCTTAACCTGAAACTGTTCTTAACCTGAAGCACCACTTTAGCTAATGGGGCCTCCTGCTTCTGCTGCGCCGCCGGAGCACAATTTCTGTTCTCATTCTGAAGCAAAGTTCTTAACCCGAGGTACTATTTCTGGGTTAGCGGAGTCTGTAACCTGAAGCGTCTGTAACCCGAGGTACCACTGTATTTCATTTGTTTTCTGCAATTTCTCAATTCCGTGACTGTCTTTTTTCTATTGGTTTCCTGGGGTGTGGCCTCTGTCGCCTGCAGACAGCCTCTGGGAGCCGCAGGTGAGAGTTGAGCACAGCGAGGGGCTCCAAGGTAGACTAACGACCCCAGAAGGAGCAAGGTGTGTCCCCCACGAGAGGTCCCAGCCCTCCCCTAACCCCCTCCCCACACATCTTCCTTCCTACCCTTCGTCAATCAAGCAAGGGACGCATCGTCTCGTCATTTACACAGCTGCATCACAGCCATGGTTTATTCATACAAACACACCAGTTTGAATTGCATCACACGCCCTCCATGGCTTCCATGGAACAGCCCATTGGACCTCCTCCCACCCAGTGGCAAATATCCCGTGTTGTGTGCATGCAAGCATCCCTTCGCACGGGGCTTGGGAGCCGCTGGGAAAACCTACCTACTGGCCGGGATACTGCTTCACTTTGCTGCCCCCTCCCTGCCCCCCATTGCAGCTGTGCCCACAGCAGGCCCAGAGCGCCACCTGCAACCCCTTGGCCCATTGCTCTGTCTTTGCAGAGATCCCTTTGGCGTGGCAACTTTGGGCGCAGTCTCTAGCACCAGACCCACGGCAGAGACCCCTGGGCTGGCGAAGAGGCAGAAGCACGCTCCCTACGTTTAGCACGCCCTTCCCACGGGCAGCGCCAGGGCATGCCAGCTTCCTGTTCTGCCACCTGTCCCTGTCCTGCCTTTGCAGAAGAACAGCCCCTGCTGGCGTCGGGGCCACCACCCTTCGGAGCCTCGTCCACGCCGTGGTTCCCTCGGCCACATCGCCGCAGGCTTTCCTCCCGTCCAGTCCCTGGGCTTCTTGAGCTGACGGATCTAGTAGTGCCCTCGCAGTCTGTCCATGAAACTGGGCTTGGCCGTTCGCTCCCTCGCCTGGTGGCGCTTTGGGGGCCCCTCTGGCACTGCCCGGGGCCTGGGCTCCTCACGCGGCGTCTGCTCCTCTTCCTTGGCTTGGGGCTTCCTTGCCTTGGCGCCGCTGGCCTGGTGGTGGCCTCGCCTGGCGTTCCCACGCGCCTTGCCCGCCCTTGCCCGCTTCTCCAGCTCCCTCTGCCGGGCCGACAGATACGCCTTCTCCCTCTCCACGATCTTGGCCTCCCTTAGCGAACGGCGCTCGAAAGCCTCCACGATCCGGGGGATACGGTTTTCCGCCTGCAGCTGCACAGCCACCTCCTCAGCGGAGGGGTCCGGCTTTTTCTTGCCGGAGACCAGCGTGGCACGGGGCCTCTGCTGCTCGCAGAAGAGGCAGGAGCACGTGGCGGGAGAGGTGCTGGCGTCGTCGCAGGTGTGGAGCCGGGGAGCCTGCAGGAGGGGAAACCAGTGAGAAAAAGACAGTCAGAGACCCAAGAAATTACACAGAACTAAAGAAATTACCGTGCAAATCCCTGAAACGAGAAGTAATCGACTACAGAATAACAAAAATCAAAAAATAAACTAGAATTAAACAAAGACTTAACGAGGTGCCGGCTGCAAAACTCGTTTCACTGAACTAATCAGTTTCCTCAGAAGGAAATAAAGAAATTATAAGATTTCAAGTGATATCAAACAAGCTCAAGAGCAGGGCTGAAAATGCTTCCTCAAGTTTACAAAGAAGGTATGAAAACCTCAATGACAAGTTTTAAACATAGCCCTATTTAAGAGAATCAAGCAGTAGTGATAAGAAATTGAGGTTTTAAAGTTTCAAACCAACTCAAAAAACAGGGCAGAAACTCAAAAAAGTTTTAAACATAACCCTATTTAAGAGGACCAAGCAATAGTAATACAAAATTAAGGTTTGAAGTTTCAAACAAACTCAAAAACAGGGCAGAGACTCAAACAAGTTTTAAACATAGCCCTATTAAGAAATTGAGGTTTTAAGTTTCAAACAGACTCAAACACAGGGCCGAAGCACTCCTGACTGCTGATGTTAAAGAATGATTTTTGTGATTCTATAGTCAATTACTTCTCGTTTTAGGGATTTTCACGGTAATTTCTTTTGTTCTGTGAGGGGAAAGGCAGAAGGGCAGGAAGCGGAGGCTCAGCGGGTTTAGGGTATGGTTACCAGATTTTTTTCAATGAATCCAGGGACACATATTTTTCTTTTTCCTTTTTTAGCTGAGTAGCAACAGAGAGTCAGTAGTGGGGATTGTGAGGTGAAAGACCCTGGGCCCAAGCACACATGCATATTGTATAAAGGTGCAAAGCCCTTCTTTCACGCCCTATGAAACATAAATGCACAGAGTTTTTAAAAAACTGGGCAACCACGCACCGCCCGCCTGTGACTCCCGATCCTTCCCCGATCTCCTGCCCCCTGTCGTGGGTGGCTGGCCGTTCCCCAGTTTTATTAAAACTCTGCACATTTATGTTTCACCGGGTGCAAAAGAAGGGCTTTGCACCTTGCCTGGCAGAGAAACCGTGCACCTTGTGCCCCTCCTGGGCAATGCCCGCCTGCCCGTGACTCCTGAGCCTCCCCCGATCTGTCAAAACAAAGGGGGCAGGACATCTGTACCGTCGGACGTCCCTGGTTCCCCTTCAGCAGTGGCAGCGGCAGCGGGCAGCTCCTGAAGCCAGCCAGAGACAACTGCGCTATCAGGCTGGCTCTGGGCTGCTGAGACTGCCGCTGCCACGTTTCCCGGGGACAGATTTGCAAATCTGGGGACATTCCTGGGACAGAATTTGTCCGGGGACAGATTTGCAAATCCTGATTCGGCAGCCTCTTATGGGAGCTGTTTGTAGTCCAACTATATCCGGGGAAGCCCCACAGCATCTGCCCTGGGGAACGCCCTCCCATCAGATATCAAGGAGATAAACAACTCTTTGACTTTTGGAAGACAGCTGTACAGAAGTTTTTAACGTCTGATTAATAATAATAATAATAATAATAATAATAATAATAATTTATTTGTACCCCACCCATCTGGCTGGGTTTCCCCACCCATCTGGGCAGCTTCCAGCAAAGATTAAAAATACATTCAAATGTCACACATTAAAAGCTTCCCTAAAGAGGGCTGCCTTCAGATGTCTTCTAAATTTCAGATAGTTGTTTATCTCTTTGACATCTGATGGGAGGGCCTTCCACAGGGCGGGTGCCACTACTGAGAAGGCCCTCTGCCTGGTTCCCTGTAGCTTTGCTTCTCGCAATGAGGGAACCGCCAGAAGGCCTCAGAGCTGGACCTCAGTGTCTGGGCAGAACGGTGGGGGTGGAGGCGCTCCTTCAGGTATACAGGACCGCGGCCGTTTAGAGCTTTCAAGGTCAGCACCAACGCTTTGAATTGTGCCTGGAAACGTACTGGGAGCCAATGTACTGGGTCTTTCAGGACCGGTGTTATGTGGTCTCGGTGGCCGCCCCAAGTCACCAGTCTAGCTGCCGCATTCTGGATTAGTTGTAGTTTCCAGGTCACCTTCAAAGGTAGCCCCACGCAGAGCGCATTGCAGTAGTCCAAGCGGGAGATAACCAGAGCATGCACCACTCTGGCGAGACAGTGTGTGGGCAGATAGGGTCTCATCCTGCGTACCAGGTGGAGCTGGTAGATGTTTAATTGTGGTCTTAATATTTTGCTGGAAGTTGCTCAGAGTGTCTGGGGCAGCCCAGTCAGATGGGCGGCATATAAATAATAAAATTATTATTATTATTATTATTATTATTATTATTATTATTATTATTATTCCCCAGCCCTTCCCTCTGCCCCCTCACCTGATGAGTGGGATCCTCTTCCTGATGGCTCTTCATTCTGTGCCTGATGTCAGCTGTGGGGTCCAGACTTGGACAGCCTCCTGCCTCTCCCCAAGAATCCCTTTCCTTCTGATCCAGTGATCCGTACGCAGGTGGCCACCCCAGAGTGCCTGGGCTGCCCCGATGCCCAGCCCCACGCCCCTGCTGCCTTGGGTGGGACGGAGGGTCTTCGGCCGGCGTCTCCTCCAGCCACTGCTGAACTTTCAAAAACCGGTCTGGCACCTGCCGCCGGCAAGGAGGCCCCGTCCTTTCCCTCTGGCGGGGGGCACTCAAACCCGCTCTCTCCTTGCCTTCCGGCAGACTCCAGCCGTTCTCCTGGAGCGTCTCCATGCCCGCTGGTGTGTCCCTGTTAAACGCTTGGCAGGCGGTGCAACTCTGGACATGGCTGATTCTGCAGCGAGGCAGGATCCGTGCTGAGCTGCTGACGGCTGTGGAGGGCCTGCTGCTCTCCTGCCGCCAATAGACGCGCTCCGACGCCCCGCCTTTGCCAGTGAGACAGTGCCGGAGGAGCCGTGGGCATGGTTGGCAGCCGTGGGCATGGGTGGCATCTCCTCTTCCTTGGGTTGCGCGGCTGTGATCCTGCCTCCTGCAGTTTCGCTCGGGGCCAGCGTGTTCCTTCCCGGGGTCCCTCCAGGGCCCGCTGGGGTCTGTGGGGTCTTCCTGCAGGGTCCCCAGGTCCTCGCAGGGGTCCGACAGGCGGCCTGAGCCACCAGCACAGGCTTTCAGCTTCTGGGAGAAGAACGTGTCCAGTTTCTCTGCAGCGTTGCGGTTGAACAGGGATGCCCTCTCTATACCCAGGCTGGGCGAAGATCGCACGTGCGGGCACAGCGGCGGCTGATGCCCCTCGGGATCCTTTGGGCGGTTCCACACCGGATCCTTACAACCCCGGAGGTGGCTTTGGCAATTGGCGTGATCCGGCCTTCTGGGAAGGTTCGGCTTTCCGAGGCTGCATTCTCGGATGGATCTAGAGAGCTCTAAAGAGAAGTGAAACCGGGAAGACTCAGTGAAAAAGTGTCTCCAATTCATGGCCTCCTAGTACAACTTCTTTCCACAACTGGGAGTCCTCCAGATGTTTTAGACTACAATACCCATCAGCCTCAGCCTGCACAGCTTGGCTGGGGCTGGTGGGAGTTGTACAGTCATAGGTAAAGGTAAAGGGACCCCTGACCATTAGGTCCAGTGTGGCTGACTCTGGGGGTTGCAGCACTCATCTCGCTTTACTGGCCGAGGGAGCCAGCGTACAGCTTCTGGGTCATGTGGCCAGCAGGACTAAGCTGCTTCTGGCGAACCAGAGCAGCGCACGGAAACGCCGTTTACCTTCCCGCCGGAGCAGTACCTATTTATCCACTTGCACTTTGACGTACTTTCAAACTGCTAGGTTGGCAGGAGCAGGGACAGAGCAAGGAGAGCTCACCCCGTCATGGGGATTTGAACCGCCGACCTTCTGATCGGTAAGTCCTAGGCTCTGTGGTTTAACCCACAGCGCCACCCGCGTCGCTGTACAGTCATACCTCGGGATAAATATGCTTCAGAATAGGAATTTTCATGTTGCGCTCTGCGGCAACCCGGAAGTTAACGGAGCGCGTTACTTCCGGGTTTTGCCGCTTGCGCATGTGCAGACGGTCAAAATGATGTCATGAGTATGCGCGGAAGTGGCGAAACACAGATGCGTCTTACGTTCTATTCAGGATGTGAACGGGGCTCCGGAACGGATCCCGTTCACATCCCAAGGTACCACTGTAGTCCCTCCCAAGCATCTGGAAGGCATCAGGGTGGTAGAAAACTAAGTGACAGCAGGAGCCAGCAATAAATCACACTGTGCACATTAACCCTTTCTTAGAAAGAACACGACCTGCACAGACTTGGTGGCGTGTCGGCCTGAGGAGCACAGCAGCTCATCCCAGGTCGGTCTTGCCCTATGGACCAGTTTCTGAGACCAAAGGTCCCTACCTCCATAGCTGCCAACTTTCCCCTTTTTTTAAGGGAAATTCCCTTCTTCCGAATAGGGTTCCTCACAAGAAAAGGGAAAAGTTGACAGCTCTGCCCTACCTCCCCAGGGCTTTTTCCAAGCAACTGGAGACTGCGCCGCTCACTTCATGCCTCTTCTGGTTCTGGGAGACCAGGTTGGAGGGGAGCTTGTCGCAGCAGGACACCCATCATTCTTCACCAGCCTGACTCATCTCTGCCTCTTGACCTCCCTCCTCTTCTGCTTCAGCTTCTGTCTCTGAATCTGGACTGCTCTCTGCCACAAACTCTCCCTTCTCACCAAGTGTCTGACACCGCCTCCTTCTAGTCTTCTCCCTCTTCTCCCTCTGACCACTCATGGTTGCACCACCACCACTCCCTGGCTTCTGAGCCTTCTTCCCTTTGGGGTTCCCCAGCTGGTTCCTCTCCTCGTTCGTCTGCATCTAACAAGTCCAAGACACACCGCTTAGAATGGATGTCATGAATCCATTCCTTGTCTGAATCTGCCCTGGGAGCTATAATTCAAAATAAATGCAGCAAAGCCCAGCAATTTGGGGCAGCAACTGCTTCTCCTTCCCAAGGTCCTTCCAGTTCATGTTTATGGCTTCCTGGTTTTCAATCTGAACTTAGCCTGATCTTTTATTCCCCTTCCTTCCCTCCCTCTCCGCTTTTATGAAGATTACCTGCTCTGGGATCCCACAGCCAATTCTCCCCTGGCCTCCTCGCTGGCCCAAATAGGACTAATCTAATGCTATCTAATTAGACTATCTAATGCTTATTAGATGCATTTCCCCTAAATTGATTTCTGAACTTTGAATTTTATTGTTATTCATGTTTTTATACGGTGTTTTATGCTGCTTCTATAATTAAGTGTTTTAAATTTGTTGTTAGCCGCCCTGAGGCCGGTTTTTGAACCGGGAAGGGCGGAGTAAAAATAATAATAATAATAATAATAATAATAATAATAATAATAAAATAAATAAATTTATTTATACTCCGCCCATCTGGGAATGGGAATGGCATGGCATGGGGAAAGTGGGTAGAGAACAGTTTTTCTCCCTCTCTTATGACATTAGAACTTGTGGACTTCCCATGCTGAATGTTGGAAGATTCAAGACCGTTAACCTCTGGAACTCCCTTCCTCAGGAGGTATTAATGTCCACCAACCTAGATGGCTTTAAGAAGAGGATTGGACAAATTCCTGGAGGAGGAGAGGGCTATCGACGGTTGCTAGCCAGGACGCCTCTGCTCTGCTCCACAGTGGGAGGCAAACCACAGGAGGGGAGCGTTGCTCTCGTGTTCGAGTCCTGCTTGTGTGCGTCTCACAGGTATCTGCTTGGCCACTGTGAGAACGAGATGCCGGACTAGACGGGCCAAGCTCTTCTTGGGCTTACCAGAAATAATGGAGGCCGTCGAAATCTCACGATCTCCCCACGGCCTGCTGGCATTGTTGACGTAGTCCTGGTCAGTCTCCCAGTCGTCCTCCTCCTCCTCTGTGCCGTGAGAAAACCGCCTGGTCTGCTCTGGCCGCCTGTGGTCCCCGCTGCTCCTGCAGGCGTTTGGAGAGCGGCCGGTCCAGGGACACCCGGTCTGGGCCATGTGGGAGGACCAAGAAGTCCTGGCAGTCGGCCACAAGGTCAAGGCTGGTTGCACCGAGAGGTGGGCGGACCGAGCACGGCCTCCGTCCCAGCCCAGGTTGGTAGAGTCTGTCCACTGTGATGTCAGTGCGCTGTCATGCGTGGTTCTTCTGCACAACACTCCGCCAGAGCTGCATTCTTTGGAGGGGGGTAGGCGCATGGTGGAAGGACCGCCGGAGTCCTCGGTCTTGTCAGCTGTGTGGCTTCACCAGAGGGTGTTGGGGAGGGCTTGAAATGGGAGCATGGAGGAGTTGGAAGAAGAACAGAAGGGCAGCCCAATCGTCCAACGTCTCATTCTGCCCCTGTTCCCTTTCTGGCCACCTCTGGGTTGCGGCGATGTGTGTTTGCGAGGTTGTGCACATACTGAATGCAACCAGTACAGTGGTACCTCTGGTTGTGAACGGGATCCGTTCCGGAGTCCCGTTCATAACATGAGCAGAACGCAACCCACGTCTACGTGACTGCGCATGCGCAGGTCGTGATTCACCTCGTCTGCGCATGACGTCATTTTGCCTGTCTGCGCATGCGCGAGCAGAGAGACCCAGAAGTAACCCTTTCCAGTATTTCTGGGTCGTGCAGGTTGCGACCTGAAAAAACGTACCATGAAGCAAATGCAGCACGAGACATGACTGTAGTTGCATGCAAACTTCCACTGTGCATTCTCTTCCATGTTGCACCTCTCCCCTAAGGACTCCTCTGTGTGGGAATGTTAAGGATCGTAGGAAAGGATATATTAAGTAAGTCTTATCCTTCCTTCACTCACGCTGGCAGGGCAGATTCCCCTCAACATAGCTGGAAGCTAGTTTGCAGATTCGTTTGAACCTCTTTGTTGTTGTTTAGTCGTTTAGTCGTGTCCGACTCTTTGTGACCCCCTGGACCAGAGCACGCCAGGCACTCCTGTCTTCCACTGCCTCCCACAGTTTGGTCAAACTCATGCTGGTAGCTTTGAGAACACTGTCCCACCATCTCGCCCTCTGTCATCTCCTTCTCCTTGTGCCCTCCATCTTTCCCAGCATCAGGGTCTTTTCCAGGGAGTCTTCTCTTCTCATGAGGTGGCCAAAGTCTTGGCACCTCAGCTTCAGGATCTGTCCTTCCAGGGAGCACTCAGGGCTGATTTCCTTCAGAATAGAGAGGTTTGATCTTCTTGCAGTCCATGGGACTCTCAAGAGTCTCCTCCAGTACCATAATTCAAAAGCATCCATTCTTCGGCGATCAGCCTTCTTTATGGTCCAGCTCTCACTTCCATACATCACTACTGAGAAAACTATAGCTTTGACTATACGGACCTCTTAGTTAAGATTATTCTGCCCGGACACTGAGGTCCAGTGCCAAGAGCCTTCTGGGGGTTCCCTCCCTGTGAGAAGCCAAGTCACAGGGAACCAGGCAGAGGGCCTTCTTGGTGGTGGCACCCGCCCTATGGAATGCCCTCCCACGAGATGTCAATGAAAACAACAACTACCAGACTTTTAGAAGACATCTGAAGGCAGCCCTGTTTAGGGAAGCTTTTAATGTTTGATGCATTACTGTATTTTAATATTTTGTGGCTGAGGAAGCCCAGCCCAGATGGGCAGGGTATACATAATAAACTATTATTATTATTATTATTATTAGTATTATTTCCTGATGTCCCTTCTAATCCCCCTTAAAAGAATAAAGACACAAGAGTCTTTCTGAGTGAAGCAACAAAAAGTTTGCTCCCATGTCAGTTCACGAATTGATCCCTGAAAGGAAGGCTTGACTTAATAGTTACACGACAAAGTCTGAGTCTCATATGGAGACAGAACGCATGTGCTGCTAGCTGAGAGCCAGCAGACAGCAAAATTTACATTAATAGAACAAAATGGCTGCAGGAGAGCAGCATGGCAGCAAAAGAGAGAAGAAGACAACACTGGGACAAGACAACTTGAAGACTGATCAAGAAGGCTAAGAAAATGGCTGCATGACTCAAAACAGCTGAGTCAGCCATAGCCAGGCGCATCTCCCAGGTCACATGCAGGGAGGGATGCTCCAGACCAGTGGAAAAGGAAGTTACACTGACTGGATGTCCCCCTGCCTGCGCCCATTCTAGGGAAATAAGGAATGTTGCATTTGACTGTACATCCCACACTAGGGATGCAGGTGGCGCTGTGGTCTAAACCACTGAGGCTCTTGGGCTTGCCGATCAGAAGGTTGGAGGTTCGAATCCCTGCGACAGGGTGAGCTCCCGTTGCTCGGTCCCTGCTCCTGCCAACCTGGCAGTTCGAAAGCACGTCAAAGTGCAAGTAGATAAATAGGTACCACTCCGGTGGGAAGGTAAACGGCGTTTCCGTGCGCTGCTCTGGTTCGCCAGAAGCGGCTTAGTCATGCTGGCCACATGACCCGGAAGCTGTACGCCGGCTCCCTTGGCCAGTAAAGCGAGATGAGCGCCGCAACCCCAGAGTCAACCATGACTGGACCCAATGGTCAGGGGTCCCTTTACCTTTACCTGGCATCAGGATCTGGCCCATCTAGCAGGGGAAGGAGAGAATAGCCCTATATTCCTAAAGACAGGCAAGGAAAACATTTGAGTGTGCTGCAACCGTTCCTAGGTTTTGGAGGAACATTGAGTTCCAAGGGGAAACAAAAGGATTGCCTCCTTGCCGGATAAGACCCAAAGCTCATCTAGTCCGTTCCTTTTCAATCTGTGGGGTGGTGGTGGTGGTGGGAGGTTTCTGGAAAGGCCCCTTTCCTGTGCCAAAGTACCCCCAGGACCTTTTGGGCTAACCAGAATGGGTTTCCACTGAAGCATAAGCCTGCCCCTAGTGTTAGACTGCATTGCAGTTCTGGGCCTTTCTGATTGTAAGCTCCTTGGAGCAGAGACCTTGCAGAGCACCACTCTAAATAACAACAGCAGTAAAAGTGCAAGGAGATTTGTGCCAGCTCACATCTGCTCAGCCTCTCCAGGAAGAACAGCAACACTTCTCTGTTTGGGTCACAGCCTGCTCTAGGACTGGCACAGAGTGGTTTCCAATGATCTGTGTTTACCCTTGAAATACATTTATGATGTTTGGTACCAGGGCCGGCCCACCCATGTGGCAAGGTCAGGCAGCTGCCTCAGGCGGCAAGGTCCACTGGGGCAGCAGATCCCAATGGCAATCTTTATTGCGCCCTTGTTCCTGCTGTCGATCTTCCCTCGCCCCTTCTTCCCTAGAGGGGAGGGGATACTATTTTGGGGATACCATTCCTATTTTGGGGATACTATTCCGCCTCAGGTTCCAAAATGTCTTTGGCTGGCCCTGTTTGGTGTAAGTCAAGTCTAAATAATAATAATAATAATAATAATAATAATTTTGTATACAGTACTGCCATTGATCCAAAGATCACAAGCCGGTTCACAACATAAAGCCTTAAGGGTGTTTAAAATTGTGTACACTTGGAAAACATTGGCAGCATTAAAATAAATTCAACAGTGTAAATAAGTTTTGATGGATGTAATAATGGAATACTGAACGGTTCGTTTTATATAAAATATGCAGGGATTTATGTTGTGCAAATTAAAATAATTAAAATAATTTTTAAAAAAGGATGTTATAAAGTTGCAAGCTGGAAAGGCAGGGCGACGAAAGAAGAATGGCAGACAAAATTAATGGACTACGCAGAACTGGATAAAACGACAGGAAGGATTTGAAACCTGCGGGACCAGAGACTTACAGAAGATTGGAAGAAATATATGAACTATTTGAAGAGCAACTGTAATCAACAAATTACGCTAGTAGGATTACAAGAAGTCTTGTAAGGAGAAATATATGAAATATTGCAAAGAAGAGAAAAAAGAGAGACATTAGTTATGAGATTTAAATGTAATAGTGAGAGTAAGAAATGTATATTAAGTGAAAAGATTGGAAAAATTTCAGGTGTGATTGATGGAAGTCAAAAAAATAGTATAAGATATAAAAGTATGTTTAATAATTGTTGAAAATGATACGTTAAAAAAAATATTAAAAATAATAACCCAGACAAGGCAACTTCTGGAGCCCCCCTGCACCCCCACTTGCAGGGTAGAGTGTTTTTGGTGGGAATAGTCTCCCAGTCTAGCCAACCTCACAGGGTTGTTGTGCGGATAAAATGAGGAGGAAGAGAACCATGCAGGCCACCTTGAGCTCGTTGGAGGAAAAGATACTATACACATGTAATCAATCAATCAATCAATCAATCAATCGATTAACAAATAAAGCTGCCTTACTGAATGGGGGTGGGGAGGGAGTTGTCAAGTCTTCCTGCCTTCTGACCCCCCCCGAAGCTCTGCTTCTTTGTGGGCAAACAACCACAAAGGATCAGGTAGGTAGTCGTGTTGGTCTAATGCAGTCGAAATAATAATAATAATAATAATAATTGTGCAGTAGCACCTTATAGACCAATAGGTTTGTTCTGGTATAAGCTTTCGTGTGCATGCACACTAGGGACGCGGGTGGCGCTGTGGGTTAAACCACAGAGCCTAGGACTTGTTGATCAGAAGGTCGGCGGTTCGAATCCCCGTGACGGGGTGAGCTCCCGTTGCTCGGTCCCTGCTCCTGCCAACCTAGCAGTTCAAAAGCACATCAGTGCAAGTAGATAAATAGGTACCGCTCCGGCGGGAAGGTAAACGGCGTTTCCGTGCGCTGCTCTGGTTCGCCAGAAGCGGCTTAGTCATGCTGGCCACATGACCCGGAAGATGTACGCCGGCTCCCTCGGCCAGTAAAGCGAGATGAGCACCCGCGACTGGACCTAATGGTCAGGGGTCCCTTTACCTTTACCTTACCTTATAGACCAATAGGTTTGTTCTGGTATAAGCTTTTGTGTGCATGCACAATGGACAATTTTAAATTTATTTTTATTTCAACCACAAAGGTGACTGCAATGTCTCAGTGGCACTCTGCACATGCTCAGAGGAGTTCATATATAAATATAGATATACACACACACAGTGCATACACACACACACACACACACACACACATACATACATACATTGTTTTTAACACTCGATTGGGAGCCGCCCAGAGTGGCTGGGGAAACTCAGCCAGATGGGCGGGGTAGAAATAATAAATTATTATTATTATTATTATACATACACAAAGTATATACCGGTATATATGAACTGCAAAATGTTTTGTTGGTTTTTCATTTCTGCCGAAAGTTGCAGGATGACACTTGGGCTGCCAGATCCCAGCTCGGACTCGATCCCTCCCCACACCGGATCCTCCGGCGACGAGGTCTCTCTCGCGCTCGCCCGGCGAGCTTTCCCACCTTCCTGCCTCACCCAAGATGGCGGCGCTGGGGAGGGAGCCCCTTACTTCCTGTCCGGACCGGAAGTGTGTCCGGTTGCCATGGTGGCGACGCTGGGGCCTAGCGGGAGAGGCGAGCCCCGAGGGAAGGCCCGGCTTAGGAGCGCGGTGGGGGGGCAGAGTGAGTGAGCGAGAGACCGGGAAGCGGCGGGAGACGGGGCGGGGGTCTCCCGGGAGGGGGGGGGAAGAGACTGAGCTCCCCCCAACCCGCTCCCCCCCCCCACGGAAAGGGGGACCCATGAGTCACGTGACATGGCCATGGGGGGCATTGGGACAAGTGGCCTGAGAGGGGCCAGTTTTTTTTGGGGGGGGGAGTAAGGCGAGGTGTCTATTTCGGGGTGGGGGTGAACGGGGGGAAGTTTTGCCTCTTGGCAAAGTGGGTGGGGGGCGTTGGGTTGGGGGGGCAGGAGGAGGGGCGGGAAGGGGCTCAGGATGGAGGCGAGAGGGTCTCCTTTTCGTTTTTATTAGTAATATCCAAGGCAGCACAATGACCAAGTACAACAATGCAATATCCATATACAGTGGTACCTCGGGTTACAGACGCTTCAGGTTACAAACGCTTCAGGTTACAGACTCCACTAACCCAGAAATCGTGCTTCAGGTTAAGAACTTTGCTTCAGGATGAGAACAGAAATCGTGCTCAGGATGTGCAGCGGCAGCAGGAGGCCCCATTAGCTAAAGTGGTGCTTCAGGTTAAGAACAGTTTCAGGTTAAGAACGGACCTCCAGAATGAATTAAGTACGTAACCAGAGGTACCACTGTACTAAGAGCCCATGGTCCTTTTCGCATGTTCTGCTAGTAAGGCAGATGTCCCCAATCTTATACAGTGGTACCTCGGGTTACATACGCTTCAGGTTACAGACTCCGCTAACCCAGAAATAGTGCTTCAGGTTAAGAACTTTGCTTCAGGATGAGAACAGAAATCGTGCTCCGGCGGCGCAGCAGCAGCAGGAGGCCCCATTAGCTAAAGTGGTGCTTCAGGTTAAGAACAGTTTCTGGTTAAGAACGGACCTCCGGAATGAATTAAGTACTTAACCTGAGGTACCACTGTAAACTCAAGCTGGAATTAAGATTGCCGGAAGAAATATCAACAACCTCAGATATGCAGATGACGCATCCTTGATGGCAGAAAGTGAAGAGGAATTAAAGAACCTTTTAATGAGGGTGAAAGAGGAGAGCGCAAAATATGGTCTGAAGCTCAACATCAAAAAAACGAAGATCATGGCCACTGGGCCCATCACCTCCTGGCAAACAGAAGGGGAAGAAATGGAGGCAGTGAGAGATTCTTGGGCTCCATGATCACTGCAGATGGTGACAGCAGTCCCGAAATTAAAAGACGCCTGCTTCTTGGGAGAAAAGCAATGACAAACCTAGACAGCATCTTAAAAAGCAGAGACATCACCTTGCCGACAAAGGTCCGTATAGTTCAAGCTCTGGTTTTCACAGTAGTGAAGTATGGAAGTGAGAGCTGGACCATAAAGAAGGCTGATCGCCGAAGAATGGATGCTTTTGAATTGTGGTGCTGGAGGAGAGTCCCATGGACTGCAAGAAGATCAAACCTCTCCATTCTGAAGGAAATCAGCCCTGAGTGCTCCCTGGAAGGACAGATCCTGAAGGTGAGGCTCCAAGACTTTGGCCACCTCATGAGAAGAGAAGACTCCCTGGAAAAGACCCTGATGTTGGGAAAGATGGAGGGCGCAAGGAGAAGGGGACGACAGAGGACGAGATGGTGGGACAGTGTTCTCGAAGCTACCAGCATGAGTCTGACCAAACTGCGGGAGGCAGTGGAAGACAGGAGTGCCTGACGTGCTCTGGTCCAGGGGGTCATGAAGAGGCGGACACGACTAAACGACTAAACAACAACAACATAGTCTATACGGAACATTGAACAATATGAGAAACCATATGTGCACTCTTGATGGATTCTCTTGAAAGAAGCAATGGGTCTTTCAGAGACTGGCATAGTCTATAAAGACTTTCAGAGACTTATAAGACTTATGTTCATTTGGTTCTAAGTTTTCAAGGGAATCCATCAAGAGTGCACATTTAGTGACTTTCAGAGATCAATAAGATTTCTGTTTATTTGTTTTCTCATGTTATTCAATGTTCCGTATAGACTATATAAAGAATTTATATAGATATTGCATTGTTGTACTTGGTCATCGTGTTGCCTTGGATATTAGTGATAATTGTTTGCAACACAGGGCTTTAATTGTTTGGTTACTTTTCGTTTTTATTATGCATTTTGTGCTTTTATGTCGTGAGCCACCCTGAGACCTGCGGGTATAGGGCGGCATGCAAGTTTAAATTATCATCATGAGTGCTATTTTCCCAGAAAAAGAGGGGCCCATGGAGCTCCTTCTGAAGATGGGAGGGGTACAAATAATAAATTATTATATTATTATAAATTGTTCCCTGGCTCTCTCACAATGAAGTCACCTGAGAGGAGCCGGAGGCTGATAAAGAGCCCTGGGAATAATGATAATTATTATTATTCATTACGGAGAGGAAGTGGCTGAGGAGAAGGTTGTCCGTCTCTCCTGTTACAGTGGTCCCTTGGTTCTCAAACGCCTTGGGACTCAAACAACTTGGAACCCAAACACTGCAAACCCGGAAGGAAGTGTTCCAGTTTGTGAACTTTTTTTGGAAGTTGAATGTGCTCTGTTTTGAGTATTACATTTGCATTTTGAGTGTTACCCTGAGGTCTGTAAGGTTTTGCTATTTATTTTGTGTTTTTGTTTTTGTGGGTCTTTCTGTTTTGTTTTTGTGACTGTGTGGAACCCAGTTCAACCACTGATTGATAGATTGATTGATAGTGTGACCGCAGTACATTGATTATTTCTTTCATTTTATGGATCAACGGTCTCGTTAGATAGTAAAATTCATGTTAAATTGCTGTTTTAGGGTTCTGCTTTTTTAAAAAAAGTCTGGAACGGATTAATCCATTTTGCATTGCTTTCTATGGGAAAGCACGCCTTGGTTTCGGAACGCTTTGGTTTTGGAACAGACTTCCGGAACGGAATAAGTTTGGGAACCAAGGTACCACTGTATTAGTATTTGGGGGTCTGCCTATGGGGCCAGCTGGGAGAAAAAGAGGGCTGGTTCACACAGCACATGGTCAACTTTGGGGGCTGCCTTTGAAATGGAGTCATACACCTGCGTGGAGGAAGAGGAGGGGTCTACCTGTGGCTCATGGCGGCTAGCAAACAGAGCCTCCATAAACCTCAGAAGTCTCTGAGTGGCGGCCATGCACATGTCTTGAGGAGGGAGGGAGAGGGCTTCCTCCTTGTTGCCTTGCTTGTGGGTTTCCCAGAGGCATCTGGTCGGACCCTGGAGGAAGTGGGACCCTGGACCAGAGATGCCCCCCCCCCCCACCTGATCAGGCAGGCTTTTGCTAAGCGGAGAGGAAGCGCCGTTGTAGCTCACGCTCTGCGTACAAAAGTTCTCCCGTTCAGTCCCTGCCGTCTCCAGGGAGTGCTGGGGAAAAAACTGCATGAAACCCTGGGGAGTCTATGCGCTGCTGTCGGGCTGAGCTAGAGACACTAACCGGTAACCTGGAATGGTAAGGGAACTGGACGCTGCCTATGCTTTATGTGGTAGTGAATGGTGGGGTGGGTCCCCCGCTTGGTCATGAAGGCCAGCCCAGCGAAAGTTGCTTGCAGGATGGATATTTTTGGAGGTGCTAAAACAGATAGGGGGTAAACTGGGCAGGATGTCTTGGGAGAAGTGGCAATATTGCAGAGGATGCTGGTACTTCCAAACTGTCTTGTACAATTGCTTGGAGTGATAACGCACGTGGAAAAGGTTCCTGCTTATGCAGCAGGTGTGGCTGAGTTGCGCGAGGGCCGAGGTGCATGAAAGCAGTGAGGGAAAGGGTGTGCGTGGCTCCTCTATTTGACGTCTGTTTGCCCTGCAGCAGGTGTGCGATGGACGAGCAAGCGCAGGGCCCACTTGCAGAGCAACCACCAATAGGCATTGCTTTGTTGCTACGTTGGCAAGCAAGGAGAACTTACTGGCAGGGCTGGGCAAAGAGAGGTGAGCAAGGGTGATCATTGTTTGACTTCTCTTCTGTTGGTGGCAGGGGGTGTAGGTGCTTCGCTTTGCACAGAACTCCATGCTTAAATAGAAGCTCTCTGTAATTCCAAATGACGCATCTTTTGACCAAGTGGGTGTTGTAAGAAATCTCTTTGTCTGTTTTGTGACCTTGAATAAATAAAGCATATTTTATTTTTTACTTTTCAGCTAAGATTGATTCTCAAAGTATATTCCATCACTAGGAATATATGAGTGTGTGTGTTGTTGTTGTTATTTATTTTATTTGTTAGTCTTTCTCACAAAAGTAACTAAGCAACTTTCATTTTAAACATGGCACTCTTTTTTTCTCTGGTTGGTGCAGGGAGAAAATGGCTGCATCTGTGTCTCCTTTAAGGCTAAGTGCAATGAGTACTTAATAGGTTGAGTTAAACTAGTTTGCTGAGGGCCTGTTTCAAGTGCTGATGCTGGGAAGATCCGTTTTCTGAAATGGACGCTTGGCTCTCAAGATCCAACAGCATTCCTGCTTATATGTAATATGAACAGCTATTCACATTATAAATACCTTCCAAGAAAGATTTCTCTGAATCTCTCTCTTACCTGCCTACTTGCCATTTTCCTTATCCTATCTAGGTGAGGCGTCTACTACACCTCGTTTGGGGCTTGATAGTCCTCTTTCCAGTCCTTTTCCTAGTTTTCCCCCACTGAAAAATCCAAGAGCACCACTTGATTTAAGAATTGTTTTCTTGTGTAAGGCATATAGCAGGGCACGGACAACAATGAGCCAGCTACACACAAACTTACCATCATAAATGAACTCTCCTTGGACATTCAGATACAGATTGCGTTCAAGTAGGAAACCATTGCTTGTCCTGGGAAGAATGTGTGCTGCGCTGCAGTTCATGCTCCTGTGCTCTTTGCGAAGGGGGTGGCACTAAAACGTCAGATCATAATTCAGAATAAATCAGTTTCGTATTTCATCTGAATATATTACCGGGAACTGTGGGTTGAGCTTGTGGTTTGTTAACTCACTATGGTTTGTACAAAACCACAATTTCCCATCTTTGGACAAAGCAGGAAATTCTGGTTCATTTCAAACCGCAACCTGGACCTTTAAATCTCTTCCTCTTGTGCAGGGAGAGTGGGGTGTGCTCAGTTGTTTGGCTTGTCACCCTGATTGAGAATTATAATGTGAATAATAATTCCACACTTGGATTTCCATAGCAGCTAAGCTTTCTGGTTAAGATGTGCTCATAAAGTGTAAAACAGATTGGTGCACAGGTTATTTCTGGCTAGGACCTTTATTTATTTTGTGAGGAGTTGTTATTGTTATATTTAATTACATTTCTATTCCGCCCTTCATCCAGGTACCACAGGGCGGTTTACAATATAGAAATACAAAAATACATCGTGTAATAACCATTACAACAAAACTGCCTTTTAGTGAAAATACGTTTACAGAAGGTCTAAGATCAGTCTTACAGATTTTAGAATCTGTTCCGATTAACAGCCAGAAGCAAAATTAGTGCTCTTCACCCAATGCAAACCCCATGGAGAAAGAGGCAAGCATTTTAAATCTTGCTTCATCCTTGGAACCAGAGTGGTGGAAGCAGAGGCTTGAGCTTAACAGCACACACCCCCTTTTATAAAATGAAAATCCCAACAATCAGCTGTTTTATAGGAAAGAAGGCTAATCAGTGAGATTTTAACTTTTTCAAAAGAGCTGTTATCCCCTTGGTGCTTTCTGTATAGGAGGGAAGGTGTTAATTCAAGTAAATAGATTACGTCTGTTGTTTAAATTTCCGCAGTGATTTTCAGGAAGGGCTTACAGCTCAGCATTCCTCCTGCCTTTGAAAATGCACCCTCTCCCTAAAACGGCCAACCATTTACTAGCTCTGTTTGCATGCCTGGTGAGGAGGCGGTGAACAAAGATGATTTTTTCCCTTCCTTTCACATAACAATAGAACTCGAGGTCACCCAATGACACAGGCACTAGATACAGGACAAAAAAAAAAAAGGTTCTTCTTAATGCAGAACTTAATCCTCAACTTTGTGCCCTCTGGGCGTCTTGGAACTACAGCTCCCATCATCCCCAGGCATCAAGGCTGTTGGTGGGGCAACAGCAGGAGTGTGCTGTTTATTGCCTTCGTGCCCTGCCTTGTGAGCTTCCTGGGAAACGGGATGCAGGTGAACTTTGGTCTGGACCAGGGCTGTGGGTGCTTGTAACTGCTACTCAGCCAACCAACTCATGCAAACAGCCCTGTGACGGCCAGGCTTTGCAGCAGCAACACTTTTGGATTTTGGTTTCTGGAAACCACAAGAGCCCCTGCGACTGAGCAGACGGGGTGAGTCGGGGGAAACAGCAGCATTTCACCCACCCCCGACACTCGATTGCCACAGCCACCACCTCAACACAGCTGTTGCCGGTTCTTTACTAAATCCCAACCATGGGAAGGCCCCTAAAAACCTCAAGAGGATCCAGGTTTTTAGATGCTTCTGTAAATTGTGACATTCCCTTTCCCCGAATAAAAAGGTACTGCTGGGGGCTGCCTTCTTCAAGTGCTTTTTTTTTTTTTTTTTAAGATTATACGCTGCACAGAATCCACGGAGCTCCTTGACTCTCCTGCCTGCCTCTTTCCGGCTGGGTTGGCAGCGCCCGGCCGTGCCCTCTCTGTAAATCACTGTCTTGTAAGCCTGACGGCAATTGCTAGGTGTCGCACTGAGCAACAGCTTCCTGCTCTGCTTCTCTCTGTGTGTAAATATTTCATATGTCAGCAGTCCTCCTACTCTGGCCTAGTTTTTTGGCTGAGTGCCTCCTGTTTCCAGGTACGCTTTGCATTCCTAGTTCGGAGGCTGGTGTTCCCAGGGGGCCACTCCCTCCAGCCTGCAGCCTTACAAGTGGGTGCCACCCACCTGCTCCTGTGGAGCGAGAAAGTGGTGCCGAGCTGCTCTCCAAAGGCTCACCGGAGTCTGCCTGCTCTGTCCGGGAGAGCTCCCTTGGTCTGATCAGCAGGAGCCGGACCACCCCGCCGCCTGCACAACGGGGGGCAGGTAAAATACTTACTGGGAATGTTCATAGGCAGCTCTTGGTGTGTTGTTGTAGGACGGGGGGGGGGGGGGGGGACGAGGACAGAGACATCTTGGCTTGACCTGCCTTTTGTTGCATAGCACACACTGCGCTTTTATCTCTGCTGCCTCCTCGAAAGACTCCTGCACAACGCTCCACATCAAAAGAAGTTGATCCAGGAACCAAATTATAATTTCCTGTTTCAGATCTTGTAATCTTCAGGCACTTTGACAGAAGTGAGCTCTCAGCCATTTTTTCCCCAAAAGCTGAGCAGAGCCTCACAGATGCCACCCCCAAATCCCTGCCTCCCTGTGCTGTTTTCTTAAGTCACTGAAATTAGAGAGGAGAGTGATTGGCCTCCTGTGTGCGTCCCCTGCCTGTGCGCATGGGCACACTGTCTTTCTTGCCTGCTCCCATGCTCCTCTCTCGCCCAGTTTCCTCCTGCTTTCTCTTCCGTAACACCTTCAGGGGCATTTCCAAGGATCCTTGACTTTTGCTGGTTTGAGTTGCCCTTGATCTTCTCAGTTTAAAGTTTAGATTTGTGGGGCTGGAAGCTATCTCTGAGTGAAGGGGAGAACGTAACTGGGCAGTGTGCTTGGTTGCTCAGCAGATCTTGACATTTGGAAGCATTGCCTAACGTTCCACCTGTTGAAACTTCCCTCAGGTGGGCTGGAGGGTGTGGGTCTAGTTTATATATCCGGGTTTCTAACTCTTACCTATCTTGAATTTTCTGTGATTCAGCTTCATTGAATGGCCTGAATTGAGTTCCAGTACTATAGAAGAGGGAGAAAACCTCCCTGTCTGGGTGTGCGGTGGACGGCTGTGTCCACTGTGTGTCCAGAGGTGCATGTTTCCCATCTTGCAGGAAGTGACTCTGGTGAGCCTGTACAGAGGGCTTTCTGTGTCAATTCCCCGTCCTGTTGATCCTCCACCTGCATCTTCTCTCTTTTTTATTTTTGAATATTTTTTATTAGGAATTTCAACATAACATTTTATCAAAAATACATCATCCTCACCCCCCCATTTTTTCCCTTCCCCCTCCCCCAAAAAGAAAACCCACCCTCCCACCCCACCCCCGGACTTCTCTCACCTCCTCTCTCTGGTTTTTCAGCACATGTTATTCTCTGCATGTTGTAAAATTGTAAATATCCTTAATTTATCAATCTATATATTACCAATTAAAGGTTTGTGAATGTTTGTTCAAAACCTGCCAAGGAGTCCAGTTCATTTTGTTGTTTCTTTAAGTACTTTGTAAAAGGTTCCCATTCTTTTTTAAAGTCACAGTTGTCCTTATCACGTAGTTTGTGTGTCAAATTCGCCAGTTCCACTTAATCCATCAGTTTCTCTTGCCACAGTTCTTTGGTCGGTGTTTCCTCATTCTTCCATCCTTGTGCTATTAAGACTCTTGCCGCCGTTGTCACATACATGAATATGTTCTTCAGTTTCCTTGGCAGGTCTTTCCCTAACAAAAATGCTTCAGGCTTTTTTACAAATGTTAATTGGAACATTTTCTTCAACTCATTGTATATCATTTCCCAGAATTTTTTAATTTTGCTACAATCCCACCACATATGGTAAAAGGTCCCTTCTTTTTCCTTACATTTCCAACACACATTTGAACCAGTTTTATACATTCTTCCTATCTGCACTGGTGTTATATACCATCCATGTATCGTTTTCATGTAATTTTCTTTCAGCAAAGAGCAATCTGTAAATTTTAAATCATTTTTGCACAATCTTTCCAAATCTTCAAACATTATATTGTGACCTATATCTTGTGCCCATTTAATCATAACGGATTCACCTCTTCATCTTTTGTTTCTCCACCTGCATCTTCTCCATTCAGACATGCTGTCTCCCTCCAAGTTCCCCACCTGCCTCTCTTCCTGCCTTTGCCATAGCAGGGCCTATCAGCTTGTGGCGCTCTGTAAGTAAGCAGGGCACTCGGCCCTTCTGGCTCCCATGACCTTTCTTTCTATGATCTCCTGCAGAGCTATGGCAGCCCAGAGTCAGGCGGGTGTGTGATTCGAGGGGTTATGAGAACAGCACACTCTGTGCTCCTTGAGCAGCCAGTGTCTTGAATGACACCTTGTTCTTGCAAGCTGCAAGGCGTGGCAGGGATTCCTCTCCACCCATGGCTGAGATTGGATTTGATCCCAGATCTAGCGCTTCACTGAACCACGCTGGGTTTTTTAAAAAAAAGGCTCCCAAGTTGCTCAGTGTGCCACGCATACTTCTCCTCTCGTCTTATCTTCCACATCAAACCTGTTGAGACTGCACAGCTTAAGGTCAGCTTTTGTAGGTGGAGATCTGAACCCGGGTCTCTCCACTTCTGGCCAGACGCTCTAGCCCTGCCTTTGCCAAGCTTGTGATTCCTGCATTGCAGGGGGTTGGACTAGATGACCCATGGGGTCCCTTCCAACTCTACAATCTGTGATTCTGTGGTGCCCTCCAGTTGTGTGTTGCCAGTTTGGCAAAGGTGCTCCCTGAATGCCCAGCACTTGGCACACAGCTATTTAACATCTGGGCAAACTGCTCCAGGACAGAGCAGAAGCCAGGGGCTTGGGGGTGGTGCCTTTTGGCTCTCCTGTTCCTTATGACTGTCCTTGGCTTGACCAGTGGTGTCCAAACTTTTTTCAAAGAGGGCCAGATTTGATGAAGTGAAGGGCTGTGAGGGCCGACCAGAGGACCAACCAAAGTTGTTGAGCTTTTTTTACGATTGAAGTTGTCGAGGGTTTTAAAGGATTTTACTCCAGGAAATAAACTGCCATACGGCCGGATTAAACTGACCAGCGGGCTGGATTAGGCCCCAAAATGGACTTTGGACGTGCCTGGTTCTGTAACTGCTGCCTCCCAAGTTGATTTTGCTGCATTTGCAGCACCAAAATGGCCTTGCCGGGGCTCAACCCTGGCCAGTGTGTCTGGAGGTCTTGGGCTGCCTAGACGACAAGACCCCCCTCTCAGCCTCACTGATGTGGTCCAAAGGAAATCAGAGCAAGATGTTTGGCACCAGCTTGGCTGCAGGAGTTTCTGGAAGGAGGCGTACAAGCCGCCATTCAACTATTTAGGAGCTCCACTCCAAATTTGTGTAGGCATTATTCCTTAGTGTTCTTTTCTCCCAGAGATGTTCTGCAAGGCAGCGGGTACAGATGGTTCCTCGGGGATTATTCCCAAAGCCTTCCTCGTAAATGAGTATAGGTGCAAGGCGGTGGAGGTTTATCACCAGAGTTTTCCATCTGCAGGATGGGCTGCCTTCCTAGGTTAACAAACCCCACCTGCCGCCCCCTTCATGTCCCTCTACAGCAGGTACAGAAGCTGCCTTCTTGACCATTGGGCCCACTGTTGATCTTGTCCGCTCAATCCGTCAGAACCTGTCTTTGCAAACAGCAGAAATCCCTAACTCATACAAGGTTTGAGACCCATCGGCTACTCTCACCTGGTTAAGCCAGCCAGTCGAAGCCGTTTCCCTGTGTGTGGCTCCTGTCGCCTGCTGACAGCTTCTGGGAGCCACAGGTGAGAGCTGAGTGCAGGATGGGGACTATCCCAGAAGGAGCACAACGTTTCCCCCACCAGAAATAACTTTGACCAGGTAACTGCCCAAGGAGAAGGGACAGGTTTTTGGGTTTTTTTGACAGCAGCCAGTCTTGAAGATGCATGTGTGGAGGAGCTGAGCTGTCGAGAGAGTGACTCTTTGCTGTGGGCGAGGCAAATGTGAACTCCGTGTGAAGCTGCCGGTTTTGTTTGGTTCAGGTCAAGTCTTTATGGTATAACCAGTTAGGTCAGGCTTCCTCAAACTCAGCCCTTCAGATGTTTTGAGACGGCAGTTCCCATCATCCCGGACCACTGGTCCTGCTAGATAGGGATCATGGGAGTTGTAGGCCAAAAACATCTGGAGGGCCGAGGTTGAGGAAGCCTGAATTAGGTTTTTACGAGATAGGCGGTTTTATTAGACCTGGTAATAAAAGTGTTCTCTGCTTAGTGATTAGTGTTGATGAGTAAATGACAGTGCAGAGGAGCAAGTGCCCACCAGCTATCTCTGGAGCGGGCGGGGAGGGAACTCTTTGTCTCCTTCAGGAAGACGGGCAGGTTCATGGGGACAAATCCAGCCTAGTCCTTTGAGTGCAGGGGAGGCCACAGCTTCTTGCGTTGCAAAATGGTCTGTCTCTCTCCAGTGGTGGGGTGCAGTGCATGCCGAGAACTGCTGTAGGGCTTGCTCAGACCACACCTGGTTCTGGGCACCACAATTTAAGAAGGATGTTGACAAGTTGGAAGGTGTGCAGAGGAGGGCCACCAAGATTCTGTTGTTATTTAGTCGTTTAGTTGTGTCCGACTCTTCGTGACCTCATGGACCAGAGCACGCCAGGCACTCCTGTCTTCCACTGCCTCCCGCAGTTTGGTCAAACTCATGCTGGTCGCTTCGAGAACACTGTCCCACCATCTCGTCCTCTGTCGTCCCCTTCTCCTTGTGGCCACCATCTTTCCCAACATCAGGGTCTTTTCCAGGGAGTCTTCTCTTCTCATGAGGTGGCCAGAGTATTGGAGTCTCAGCTTCAGGATCTGTCCTTCCAGTGAGCACTCAGGGCTGGTTTCCTTCAGAATGGAGAGGTTGGATCTTCTTGCAGTCCATGGGACTCTCAAGAGGCTCCTCCAGCACCATAATTCAAAAGCATCCATTCTTCGGCAATCAGCCTTCTTGATGGTCCAGCTCTCACTTCCATACATCACATCTGGGAAAACCATAGCTTTAACTATACGGGCCTTTGTCGGCAAGGTGATGTCTCTGCTTTTTAAGATGCTGTCTAGGTTGGAAGGCCAGCTGTCATGGATGCTTTAGCTGAGATTCCTGCATTGCAGGGGGTTGGACTAGATGACCCTCACAGACCCTTCCACTCGAAGATTCTGTGATTCTCCTAGGAGAGAAGATGCTGGCTCCCCTGCAGAGGACCGGTCTTAGTTGAGCAATGCTTCTGCCTTTGTTTGGATGTCCTTGAGTGAAAGTTGCATGGTGGAAGCCTTGCCTGATGAATTTCTCCCAGGCGTGACGCAACATTCTTTGCATTCCTTATTCTGGGAAGACTCTGGGGAGTTCCTGCCTTCCTGTTCCTCGCCCCAGGCAGTTTACGTGGCTGCTCAGGCGTTGCATGTGGTTGGGATGCTGCGTTCTGTGAAGCAGATGTGTTGACGGACTGGCCCCATGGTGGGGAACGAATGCGAGTGGCGCAATATTTTTTTGCCACTGCTAGTCTTGTTATATAACCAGCGGAGCGCCTGTGTGTTGCTAAACCAGAAGCGATTGTGCACCTGCAAAGGTTTCTTCCTCAATTTCAGGCTAGGCAAGGGGATCACATTGCAAATAAAATCCTATATGGAGATTAATTATACTGTCTCAGAACCTTTGGTACTAGGAGAAAAGGAACACTTGTAAAAGTTTTTTTTTTTAACTCCTTATAGAATCGTAGAGTTGGAATGGACTCAGGTCAGTGAGCTTCCTTGTTTGTAGCCTTCTTTTTTCAAAATTGAATTTGTATTACATACAAAAACATATAGACCTTGAAAAAACAAGTAAGTAACAAAAGGGGGGCGGGAAGTAATTCAGAATTGCAGAATGAAATAAAAGCTACTGGTATACAAATTACAACAGCATACCAAGTTACAATCACACTTCACTGGCTACCGGGTGATGTTTAAATACCCCAACCATAATAAGAGCTGTTTGACAGTGGAAGGGGAAGTGTCAGCTGCAACCGTGGCATTATCAGAACTACGCTCTAACCATCTGAGCTATCACGAAAGCACAAAACGGTACAGGATCCTTCCGTCCTGCCTGTCCACCCAATGCATTCTGACAGTTCCGGGGACGCAATTCGCTGCTTTGCAGCTTCTCTTCCATAAACATTTGCTGACGATTATATTGCATGATTCAGTTGCTACTTATGGAGAGGTCCAGAGAACTCTGCAGCTAGCAGGTGATATCTAAGACCTCAAAATTCCTATCACACAGGACGCTGAGCAAGGTTAGCGTACGTCACCCTCTGACCTCCAGCCCCCCTGGGCTCCTTCTCCTACCTGTCCTGCAGCACCTAAACGGTTGTGCTGGCCTTGTCACGGGAGATAACAAGATAAGGGCTCCAAGAACTTTAGACGTGGATATTGCTTTTTATCCGTGGGTAATGGATTGGAGGGAAGTTCTCCTGCTTCAGCCCCTGGGTGCAAAGTGCAAGGCAGGCGGCCTTTTCTTCCTCTACTTCTCCCCTCCCCCTGCTTAGCTGATATGGGTGACAGGAGGCCTCATTTAACGCACATTTACATTGCCAAGGGAAGCAGGGGACATCCCCTGGCCTCTGTTCTTCCGGAAGGCAACCGTGTTTTTCATTTGTTTTACTAGTGCATATTTATTGCACTTATCCCCAAGTTGCTGAAGGCAGCATGCATTTAAACGGCCTCGGTCCAGTATCCCTGGAGGAGCATCTCCACCCGCATCGTTCTGCCCGGACACTGAGGTCCAGCGCCGAGGGCCTTCTGGCGGTTCCCTCCCTGCGAGAAGCCAAGTTACAGGGAACCAGTCAGAGGGCCTTCTTGGTGGTGGCCCTGTGGAACGCTCTCCCACCAGATGTCAAAGAAGAACTACTTCCAGACTTTTATAAGACATCTGAAGGCAGCCCTGTTCAGGGAAGCTTTTAATGTTTAACAGATTACTGTATTTTAATGCTTTGTTGGAAGCCGCCCAGAGTGGCTGGGGAAACTCAGCCAGATGGGCAGGGTATAAATAATAATTTATTATTATTATTATTATTATTATTATTAATCTCTTCCCCACAGCAGCCCTGTAGGGTAGGTTAGGCCGAGAGGCAGGGACTGGCCCAAGGACACCCAGTGAGCTTTATGGCTTAGTAGAGATTTGAACCCTGGTCTCATAGGTTTATTCCTTCCTGCTCTATTCATTTATCTTCCTGCTCTATTTACCTGGTCTCATAGGTCTATTCCTTCCTGCTCTATTCCTTCCTGCTTTGTTTGAACAGTGCTGGGGGGTGTCGTCGGTGTGCATCCCAGGGTCAGTCCATTGCGTTGCTTCCCAATGAGGAATTTTGGGGGGTTCTGGGAAGGAAGACTGCTCTGCTAGGTTGCAGGTGGCAGAAAAGGGGGGGAGAGAAGTTGCTGAATGCAAGAGGCTTTGCTGGGGCGGGGCAGGGAGAGGGAGAGAAGAGAAAGAGGCTTTGAGCGGCCAGTGCCAAAACCCCAAGTAATTTGCTTAAACTTTGATTGTAGGTTAATCCTGGATTAAGGCAGGGCAGCGCCAGCGCCGTGTGAGGTGGGAAGCAGCAGGGTGAGCTGGGCACCTCTTTGCTCTGTCGTCCTCATGCCTCTTTCTGATTGGCTTCCTTGTTCCTCCTCTGTTGCAGGACTCCTGGGAGCGCGCTTGGCTGGAAGCTCAGCCCAGTGCCCGAGTGGCAGGCTGTCGGAGGGAGGAGTCTCCATCGAGGAGCAGGGCTCACTCCTGCCAGCCGGTTCCTTCAGCTGAGCTCCTGAGTAGCTGGAGAGAGCGAGAGGGGGAGAGCTGAAGGTTTGGAGGCAGCGGCAAGACAAATTGCTGGGAGCGAGAACAGGAAACAGGGACCCTCCGCGCTGCCTCTCCAGCATCTCCACTTTCCTTTCGAAGGAGGTTCGCGCAGCAACACGTGGAAGAGGTTGAGCAGCTAAGACAGGATCTTGTTCCGAAACAGCTGCAGCAGCAGAACTGCCTGGGGTTTTGGAGACGGCTTGGGGGTCGCTGGAATCGAAGCAGAATCTGTGGGGCGGTTTTGAGCTGTGCCCTGGGGTGGTGGCTGGGAGGCGCAGTCACGGGCAGCTCTCACAGGTACTCCCGTGTGCCTCGGAACGGGTTGGCAGCCTGCAGAGACCTGCCTCCCTTTGCCCCCAGATTCTGAGGCCTTCGCTTTGTCAGCAGAGGAGACAGCAGGCTGGGTGCTATCTGGGTAATGAGACTCCTATCAGAGCCTGAACGGTAGTAATGACCATCAGGTGTGCACCTGGAAACAAGCTTGCTGCACTCTGGACTGCAGAGGGACAGAGGCTGCCGTTTGGAAGCTGGCAGTAAAGACCAACGGTGGAGGGATTTGTGCTTTGCTTTTATTCTCAATGGAGAGATGATCCGAACTGTGCTTTGATTGGAGCTAGCTCCATTATTGGGGATGGACAGGGCTCAGAATGCCTCCCCGTAGGCTCCAGGTTTGGCTCCTGCTTCCTTAGCTGTTTAGGTGATGAAAATATCTCTCAAGCCTCATTAAGACCCCTTGACAGTGTCTTGCAAAGGGCTGCTCTTTCTTCCAGCTTTGGGAATTCAACACCCAGTTCACTACGTGCTTTTAGATAACTTGCATGGATACCCTGCTGGTGAGACTTCTCAGCTTCAGATTTTAAGGGCCACTTTGCCCATCCAACAGGTGGGACAGCCATGGAGGACACTCTCCCTTTGCCAGCAGGGATGTCACAGTCTTGGAAACTGGTCACAGCGCAGCAGTAAGAAGCTCTTTGGAAGCCTTGCTGGTGATGCTTGAAGGGGGCTTCTTAAAGCCCCCTTCCTCCCCACCCCACGTGGAACTCGTCCAGATGCTTCTGAGGCATCCCTGATTGCGGAAGGCGAGCGAGCGATTTGCCACTGGTCAGCCATGGCGGAGCATTTGGAGCTGCTGGCCGAGATGTCTGCGGTGGGCCGGATGGGCACTCAGGAGCGGCTGAAGCACGCCCAGAAGCGCCGCACGCAGCAGCTGAAGAAGTGGGCGCAGTTTGAGAAGGACGTGCAGGGCAAGAAGACCAGAGCGGAGAAGAAGAAGAAGGGCAGCAGCAAGGAGAGGCGGGTGCTATTCCCTGAGAACATCCGGCTGCTCGAGGCCGCGTGCCGCAACGACGTGGAAGAAGGTAGGAGCTGGAGCCCTACCTGGGGAGGGGGAGAAAGCTTTGTGGCAGAACTCCTGGTTCACATGGCGCCCAGGCAGCAGGGCTGGGGAATCAGAGTCATGAAATGGGTGAGTTGGAAGGGAGCCCGAGGGTCATCTAGTGCAACCCCTCCTGCAGATGGCCATCCCACCTCTGCTTAAAAATCCCCAATGAAAGAGAGTCCACAACCTTCCCAGGGAGTCCGTTCCACTCTTGAACATCAGTTACCATCAGAAAGTCCTTCCTGACGTTAAGTCGGAAACTTCTTTCTTGTCATTTGAATCCGTTGGTTCGGGTCCTACCCTCCAGAGCAGGCATCCCCAAACTTGGCCCTCCAGCTGTTTTGGGACTACAATTCCCAGCATCCCTGACCACTGCTCCTGTTAGCTAGGGATGATGGGAGTTGTAGTCCCAAAACATCTGGAGGGCCAAGTTTGGGGATGCCTGCTCCAGAGCCTCAGAAAATCAGCTTGCGCCGTCTTGCATGTGTCAGCCCTGCAGATATTTGAAGATGGCTATTCTGCTACCTCCCAGCCTTCTCTTCTCCAGACCAAACATTCCCAACTCCCTCAACAGTTGCTCTTGAGGCTTGGTTTCCAGACCCTCCTCTACACATGTTCCAGCTTGTTGAACATCTGTCTTAGGCTCAGGTGCCCAGAACTCTACACAGGACTCCAGGTGGGGTCTGACCAAGGCAGAATAGGGTGGTACTATTACCATATTTCAGTCTCTTAGTCAGCCTTCCCCAACCTAGCATATTGGTCTGGGAATCATGAAAGTTGAAAGCATAATGAATCTGGGAAATGTGGTCTGTTTCCCATGTTTTCCTCCCAGCTCTCTTGCCGCAAGAGTTAGAAAACCTAAGAAAAATGAGGATTCTGGCAAGCTATAAGGAGTTGTGTCTCAGAGAACTTTATTCTTCTATAGCAACGTGCAAACAACACAGACCCAAGTTGTTGTAAGCTTTTCTGTCTTTGGCTCCAGTTAGGATCACTGTGTGTCCAGTTACAGCTGCAGAAATACAAATATGGCCATCTGTCATTGTAAGAGCTGTTTGACAGTGGAACGGACTCCCTGGGAAGGTGGTGGACTCTGCTTCCTTGGAGGCTTTTAAGCAGAGATTGGACGGCTGTCCATCATGGATGCTTTAGCTGAGATTCCTGCATTGCAGGGGGTTGGACTAGATGACCCCAGAGGCTCCCTTCCAACCCTATAGTTCTATAATCCTACATAGCAGTATCATTATGGTCCTCCCTTCATTCCCAAAGGCCCCATCCCGATGGTCCTCAATTTCCCTCTTTCCTTTACTTCAGCCTTTGAGTCTCTAATTTCTCCGTTCCTTTACTTCCACTTGCAAGCCTTGGCCATATGATTCCGCCCCTCTCAAAGTGAGAAGGAGGATAGTTGTTCTTTCAGAATTCCACACTCGTCTCAGTAGTAATTCCAGTGTGGCAGCCATTGTTGACTCAAACATGTAAACATGTGAATTTCACAGAACTCGTAGAGCACATTCCTGTGTGTGTCCAGAGGGGCAGACTTCCAGATAAGGGAGTGGAGATTCCAGTCTGTGGCTGCAATCCTAAGGAACAAGGCCCTCTCAGCTCAGTGGGATTACTTCCACGTGGACATGCACAGGATTGCGGGGTTAGTCTGTGAATCCCAAAGGCTGCTACCGCTCAGTTCTGCAGGAAACCCTCCCTTTGCTGTGAAGGTCACTGTGCGATGGCCTTGGGCAGATCATCCGGTCAGCCTGGCTTCTCTCGCAGGGTTGTTGTGATGCTACAGTGAGGAATGGAATAGTGCAGAATAGAAATGTAGCAACAACAAAATATAGAAATAAAATTTAAAACAATTTCAATCCCAGTGATTAAAAAGGTGAAGAGAAAATGCCAGGGCTGCGATCCAAGCCTGCTTGCTAGGGAGGAAGCTCCATGAAACAAGCTTGGAATTTCAGTTCAGCATCAGAGCCGACTGAAGCTGGTTGCTTCATAAACACTTCTAGACATATTTCTACTTGGGTTGCTTGTGTGCTCTAGCCTGGCTTTGAGGGGAATCAACAAGGAAAGCAGTATCTGCAAGGTGAAACGAAAGAGGCTTTGGACGCTAAGAAAAGATGTAGGGGAAAGAAGCAGGTGCAAACCCAGGGGATGAGATTCAGCCAAGGGCTTCTTGCCCCCCAGCCTCAAGCACCCTGGTGGGCCCACCCCTGACAAGTGATGCTGTGGGGGTGCAGGTTCGTAGCATAATCAGAAGCTCTACCAAATCAAGAAGCCAGTTTTTAACGAGCAACATTTGTTTGTCACCCCGTAAGATACTAAGTTCTCTCAGCAACTTACAATAGAAGATTGTGCAACAAGGGAGTTAAAGGCTGCAGGAGTTTCGGATCCTTTTAATGCTCTTTGTTCTATGTGCAAACCATGGAAGTGTGCGTAGGCCTGTCTCATCGCATGCAAATCACATCTCCTCAGAAGCAACCTTTGAAAATAAAGATTGCCATGAAACAATTGCCGAGATTCACTCGGGGTAAGTTCTGTGATGTTCAGAAAGCCTTTCATAGGATCGGCTGCTTCTGGGGATGGAGTTGCCCAATGCCTCTAGTTGTGGCTGCCCATGATTTGCCCCAAACAGTTCTGTCGTTGTATTTTATGGAAGATTTAAGTGTCACTGGAGGGGCTTCAGTGGAGAGCAACAGAGGTGCTTGACATTTTTAAAAGCATAATGGTTAGTTGACCAGCACTGCTGAAGCTGCCCAGCCCTTCCAGGAAGTGGAATCTTCCTGGGTTCTTCAGTGGCATCTTTATCCACTGAATGACCTGCCCCCCCAAAAAAAATACCCCACTCCACTGCCTTTCTTCCCAAGCTTGCTGCCTTTCTTCTATAAGACTTACTGGCGTGTTGCAGAAACTAGAAGCCAGACCCGGTTGGCACTGCCAGTTTCCTCTTTCTGCCATGCCCCCCTCCCATTCAGTGGCCTACGAGGTGGGTAGGTCGTATCCTGGCTGTGCCCATCCATGGGGCTCCCTCCTCCCCGCTCAGTAACATTTGAGGGAGGTTTAGAGAAATGTGACAAGTGGAGCTTTGCAGGAAGAGGGGTCAAGCAGAGACAAAATTGCAGTTTTCACATATTTGAAAGGCTTCCACAAGGAAGCAAGTCTTCTGCAGTCGCAAGCGAGAGGCTTTTCGTTTTATTTGTCCATCATCCCCAGCCCAGAGGATCCGATGGTACAAACGTTAAAAGACATGTACAGTCATACCTCGGGCTACAGACGCTTCAGGTTGCGCATTTTCGGGTTGCACACCGTGCCGTACCCGGAAGTACCGGAACAGGTTACTTCCAGATTTCGGCACTCGTGCATGCGCAGAAACACTAAATTGCACTTTGCGCATGCACAGAAGTGCTGAATTGCGACCTGCACGTGTTTGTTGCGGGTTGCGAGCGCTGCAGCTTGCGAACGTGCCTCCCGTACAGATCATGTTCGCAACCCAAGCATCCACTGTCCATAAAAGGCCCGTTAAAGGCCCTAGCAAGAAGACATAAAAGTTTTCTTATCCAGAGTCTGACCATTGTTCCATCCAGTCCCAGGATTGTTGATGCGTAGCAGCGCTCCAAGATTCTGGGATGTTACCAGGCTTCTGGTTGGCCACTGAGAGCAGATGGCTGAGCTAGATGGGCCACTGCCCTCATCCATCAGGCTCATCTCAGGAAATGCCATGGATTCGACCCAGGACCTTCTGCACGCAAAGGATGTGCTCTATTCCTTTGCAGTGAGACACACAGATGGACGGGCAGCCCAAAGAAGGTTCTGCGATCGCAGTGGGACATGCAGGTGGAGGTAGTGGCTCAGATATTCACACTGGAAGGCGGGGGGGGGGGGCGACCTGTGGTAGAGGACCTGTTTCCTCTGACTTGGAGGCGTGTTTGTTGTCCTGCCTATCCATTTGCTCTTTTGCTGCCCCAACCCCTGATCTCTGCGTGAGGAGTCTGTGCCCAGGTGACTTGTTCAGCTTCCTTGCCGGCTCCAGGCAGGGCTGCAGCTGCTGTTTACACCAGGGGTCAGCAAACTTTTCCAGCAGGGAGCTGGAAGCTCTGTCCCCCAGACCTTGGGGGGGGGCAGACTATATTTTGAAAAAATAATAATAAACAAATTCCTATGCCCCACAAATAACCCGGAGATGCATTTTAAATAAAAGTACACATTCTACTCATGTAAAAACACGCTGATTCCCGGACCGTCCGTGGGCCGGATTTAGAAGGCGATCGGGCCGGATCCGGCCCCCAGGCTTTAGTTTGCCTACGCTTGGTTTAGACCAACAAACTTACTTTTCAAACATTTGAGCTCCTAATGAATGAATCAGCAGGAGGAGTACCACACATGGTAGCCCTGAGCTCAGCAAGGCTTAAATATGTGAGCATCTCTGCTGGATCAGGCCAAAAGCCGTCCTAGTCCAGTATCCTGCTTCCAGCCAGATGCCTGCAGGAAGCTCCCAGGCAGGGCAGGCGAGCAGGAGCAAGAGTCTTGCATTCAGAGGCGTGCTGAACCTGGAGGGAACATGGAGCCATCCTGACCAGTAGCCATTGAAAGCCTTTTCTCTCCAGGAAAGCTCAAGTAGTCACAGAACGTCTGGGCTATGTGGATCTCCTGTTAGTAAAAAAAGAAAAGAAAAGTGTTCTAGTTTGGAACTTCTGAGCCTTGGCAGCTTTGGACACTTAGTAGTCAGTCCCCTGTGCCATGCCGTAAATCTATACTGTAAGCTATTTGGGGCAGAGACTCACTTTTACTTGCATTGGCTGTGCAAGGGACCACATTTAGCAATGGCACAACCTCGCAGCCAATGGCGCAACTTTGGTAAAAGTTAAATCTGCAGATCTCTTCTCCCCCCATCCCTGCCCTTCAATTCAGGGCTGCAAGAGCAAGAAAATGCAAGCTCAGCAGGCAGCGGTCAGCTGCCACCACACTCTGCTCCGTGGTGCCGAGGCCCAGTCTGTCTCTGCTGCCTCTCTCCGTATCTGTGTTTAGTGGCTCCCCCTTGACTTCCTCCCGCGGCAGAGGCGCAGGCCAAGGAGCTTGCAGGGTTTTTACGATTCGCTCTCGGCCTCCGACTCTTCCTCTCTTCTTAGGCTAGCTAATGACAAAACGTGATCCTTGAATGAAAAGGCGGATGAGCCGAAAATAGAAATAATTTTAAACAGCTGGATCCGCTCAGAGTGTACTTTGGCTGCCGGTGGAAGAATGGAGCCGATAATTACGTGTGGCTTCAGGGAAGGCTGCCAGCGTTACGGTCCTGGAGGACAGAGCTTTTGGCCTCTGCAGCCATGACCCCTCCTCTGGCCCTGACCCTTTCACCTGGCTGACCCGTAGCACTTGGAGCGCCCGGCAGAATGCTGACCAGGGAGTCTCCTGGCCCCTGGCCCAGACCAGACCACCCACACTCTGTCCAGGCCGTGCTTTTTGCCTCTGGGCTCTGTGTCTCCTACAGTTGCTGAGCCAACAACATCTCCATCTAAGAACCCATCTATTTCTCTTTTAATGCCCTGAAACTGCCAACAGGGGCATGTACTTTTCTCTCTCCCCCACCTCCCGCCATGAAATGCTCCTGAAGCATTAATCCAGGATGTCGGGATCACCACCAGAGGCAGCATATGTTGCACTGCCCCTCCCCAGCAGGGACCTGCTGTGGTCAGGCGGCTGAGCTTAGGACTTGGGGAATGTGTGGAATGTGGAGGGCGCCACTGGCTGCGGCTTGTGGGGAAGAGCGTCTCGCTTTAAAGCAAAACGTGGGCATTTCTGTCCTTGGGTTTGTATGGAGGAGGCCAGAACGAGCCACCTGCATCTCTGCCTCTTGCTTGCGCAACCACGGGGCTCGCTCTGCCTCTGGACCCTGCGCTTTGCTGGGAGAGAGAAGTGGGAGAAAACCTTGTTTGCCACCGAGCGGCTAGATTGGGCTAGGTGTCACCACGGAAGACGGAGAGTTGGTCCCCCTTTGGTGCACTTTAGTCGAGAGTCTATAGGCACCTTCTTCAGCCAGATGCCATTGGTTCATCTTGCTGCTAACTGGGTCCCCTCTGCTGATCTCAGCACATTGAATTGGAACCCCGGAAACGAACTGGCCACCAGGTCCGTTGTTTTGAAACAGGACAGATGGTCTCTCGCAGACATGAGTGGCAGGAAATCGCACACAGTGTGTGATGAGAACTGGGGGCGCTGGAAGGTTGCTGATGGGTAGCTTTTAAAAAAAGTGTGTACAAAACAGGCCATTAGGTGCGGGGTGGCTGGCTGCGGGGAGCGTGTCACGTGGGTGAGCTGTGTCTGTTGACAGTGGACACATGGAGCCATGGCAGGAACAAGCTGTTCTGGCTTAGCTGTAATTACTCCGGCAAGGGAGCTGTGTGCTTGACCTTCTGTGCAGCCGAGGAGGAAGTCCTGCTCCCTTGCGGTCCTGAAGCAACAATGGGGTGGCCCCAGGGGCTCCTAAAGGCTGAAGCCCACTTGATGCTTTGCCTGCCTGCTGATGGCTGAGTGCTGAGGGCTCCGGTTAGCAACACAGGAAGCGTTCGCCTGGCAAAACTGCAGAGCCTTAATGGAGGTGGCTTGAGGGGAGAGCCCCTGCGCCAGGGAAGGAAAATGCCCCCAGAGGTGGGAATATTTGCGTGTTTGGGAACACAGGCGGTATGGGAATTCCATAACTAAGTCATCATAGCAAGAACAGGAAATGCAGGAGAAATTGCAACGGATGATAATGCGTGACTTTCAAAACGCAAGAGGCAGAAAGTCAGATCACGATCCTGTCTTACAATAAGAAAGACAGCTGCAGTCGATCTAAACTACAGTCAGTGAAGCTGCATCTTCAGGAACAGCAGTAGCACATGTGGAATGCATTTCCTCTGAGTGTTGTCTCTTGTTATGTCTGCAGAGTGTGGGCTTCCTAGCTGTCTAGTAGTGCCAGATATAGGGAGGGGGAAAGAGCAGGCAGTTTAGTTGTGGCATCGTAGAGTTGGGGGAGACCTTATCTTCTTCTTCATCATCTTCTTTGGTGATCCCTCTTAGCCGAGTAAGATTGTCTTCCATAAACACGGTCTTAACAATGAGTCTGTAAGTGACTGTGGAGGCCAGTTCTGGATCTGCACGTCCTTCCACAGTGGGGACATTGGTTTCCGGGTGGGAGTTGATCACGGTGTGGATTTGCCAAGTGTGCCTTCCTCTTAGCACGTTTCTCCCTTGCGTTCTGAGTTCGAGTGTCTTCATAGCCCATGACACCTTTGGTAAAGGCTGTTCTCCAACTGGAGAGCTCGCAGGCCAGTGTTTCCCAGTTGTCAGTGTGTATACTACATTTTTTTAGATTTGCCTTGAGACAGACCTTAAACCTCTTTTGTTGACCACCAGCATTACGCTTTCCATTTTTAAGTTCGTAATAGAGTAGTTGCTTTGGAAGACGATCATCAGGCATCCGCACAACATGACCAGTCCAACGAAGTTGATGTTTGAAGAATCATTGCTTCAACACTGGTGATCTTTGCTTTTTCCAGTACATTCATATTAGTTCGCCTGTCTTCCCAAGTGATGTGTAAAATTTTTCGGAGACACCATTGATGGAATCTTTTGAGGAGTTGGAGATGGTGTTTATAAGTGGTCAGTGTTTCACAAGCATATAGTAAGGTTGGCAGTACAATAGCTTTGTAAACAAGCATTTTGGTTTCCCTGCGAATGTCCCGGACCTCAAACACTCTGCACTTCAATCAGGAGAAAGCTGCACTTGCAGAGCTCAGGGGACGCTGGATTTCGGCATCAAGGCTGGCCATCTAGCGCATCCCCTTCCCCACCCTTAACAAGAAATCCAGAGCATCAGCATCCCCAAGAGATGGCTTGTCCCGCCTCTGCTTGAAGACCCTCAGCCAGGGAGAGCCTACCACCCTAGGCAATTGGTTGCCTTTCTGAGCTGTTCTCTTCCCATGAAGAAGCCTGTCCTCATGTGTTCACCCGAAACAGATCTAGTCTTGCTCCGCCAGCAAGAACAATGGCATCCTTCATACCCTCACTGCTGCAAACTCTCACAATGTTGAGTCGCAAATCCACAAAAACAGCATTAAAAGTTATTTAGCGAAACAATATCTTCCAACAGCTAAAGGATGCCTTAAAACATCACAGCTTACAGCATTACAAGATATTGAGATGAAGCATTGCAAATGAAAATCGAATGCAAAAATGCAACGAAAGTCCATGTTGTAAAGCGGCCTGATTAGGAACAAAACAAAACATCCTCTTAAATGCCTGAAAGGAAATCACATGTTACAAAACTCATTAGCGGCTGAGCAAAACCGCTGGGTTTAGAGGCTGCACCCTCAGCCTCTCTCCACACTCTTGTTTCACAAAGCACAACCTTGCCTGCCCCCCCGGGCCCCCACATACCAGTCTCAGCCATTCCCATCAGCCACCCCCATAACGCAGTTAATTCCCATCCAACCACTTGCCGCAAAGGGAATGTCTAGTCCGTGAAGAATCCCTGGCAGCATCAAGCATCGTTTACAACCAGCTCATTTCCCCACTTCTGTCTCTGAAGCAAGAAGCCAGCTCAAGATGCATCATAATCATCCCTTCCTTGTCACCCACCCAGGTAGGGCCTGACTCTGTACCAGTCCAGTCTCATAGACTGGTATTAAGTGACGTTGCAACACAGAGGAACCTCACAGATCAGATTCCCTCTCTGAGCAGTCAGTGCCAATTACCATCCAATAATGGACCACTCACTTTCTCCTACTGGATAATAATCCAACTATATGAACATAAAGGGGGGGGTGCCTTTAGCCTCACGGTGACCCCGAAGGGGTGACACCCACCCCAACTGACCTGCCTCTCTGCAGTGGCCCTTATGCAGTCTGGGCATGTGTGATTTAGCTGAGATTCCTGCATTGCAGGGGGTTGGACTAGATGGCCCACGGGACCCTTCCAACTCTGCTGATCTATGATTCTGTGAGTCATACTTAAGGGAAGTGGGATGATTCTGGAAGGAGGCCCAGGACACACTCTGAAGGCATCTGAGACAGCAGACCAAGCTTTCCCTTGTTCCACTTGAGATGCAATTGATAAAGAGGAATTGGACTGATGGGGTTTTCATGCTGTGTGGCTGCTGAGTCCATAGAACCCCTCCCTTGTGCCATCTCGCGCTCCCATTGCTGCTTCAGTGCCCCTCTTGCCACCCTATGTTCGATTGACTCGACGCTTTCTACCACTGAACACCCTCCTGGGTAGGCGGCTGACTCAATATTGACTGCATCCCCTTGGTGCATAAACAGGGCCGGTTCCTGCTGCCTCCATAGGTGTTTTCCCTCTGCCTCGGGGTTTCTGGCGAGTTTCTGTTGGCAGGGAGAGGTTCCTGGCTGGAAGACAGCAGGTGTTTTCATAAGGGGTTGGGGCCGGAAAACACACCCCTCGCCCTTGGACCGCATCCAGCTTCTAGGTGTGCACAAAGGCTTGCGGTTTGGCCTCAGCCGTCTCTCTGGGGACCTTTTTGCACTTGAGAAAACCTGCCACCCAAACTCTCCCCGTGCTGCTTACAAGACTGGCTTCCTTCACGCTGGCCTTGATTTCCTGGATCTCTGGCTCACTTGGGTTTCTCTAAGTAACACGTTTGGGGTTTGGAGAACAGACATGGTTGCTGTTGTTCGCCCTCGGACCTCGCTAGCCTCGGTTCCATTGCGGTGCTTGGGACTCCTGGGTGACCCTGCCAGGAGGGACCGTTCCAGAGCCAGCACCAGGAGTCAGCTGCTGAGGTGGTGGCGGGGAGGACTGGTTCGGCTGTAGCTTCAGAAAGGTAGACTTCAGACAGGTAGACTCCTGAAGGGGTCCGTCCCACCGTCGGACAGCTCTTGCCATCAAAATTATTCTGAAGGAGCGTCTCCACTCCCATTGTTCTGCCCAGACGCTGAGGTCCAGCTCCGAGGACCTTCTGGCTGTTCCCTCCCTGCAAGAAGTGAGGTTACAGGGAACCAGTCAGAGGGCCTTCTCGGTGGTGGCACCCGCCCTGTGGAACACCCTCCCATCAGATGTCAAAGAGATAAACAACTACCTGACTTTTAGAAGACATCTGAAGGCATTCCTGTTCAGGGAAGTTTTTAATATGTGACATTTTAATGTATTTTTAATCTTTGTTGGAAGCCACCCAAAGTGGCTGGGGAAACCCAGCCAGATGGGCGGACTACAAATAATAAATTATTATTATTATTATTCCTGTCATTGGGTCGGAATCTCCTTTCTTGTAACTTGAATGGATTGGTTTGAATCCTACCCTCTGGAGCAGGAGAAAACAAGCTTGCTCCATCTTCCATGGGACAGCCCATCAGATATTGGAAGATGGCCATCATATCAGTCTCCCTCCGGAGGTTGTGGTCTCTCCTTCCTTGAAGGTTTTTAAGCAGGGCTTTGATGGCTGTCTGTCATGGATGCTTTAGCTGAGATTCCTGCATTGCAGGGATTTGGACTGGATGACCCTCACGGTTGCTTAAACTCTACGATTCCATCTCCTCTCAGTGACCTCTTAGCCAGGCTGAGCATCCCCAACTCCTTCAACCATTTCCCTTGGTCATCTTGGTTGCTCTCGTCTGCATGTACCCACGAACCTACAGGACTGCCTCTCCTGGTATGCCCCGCACAGGACCTTAAGGTCCACAAATGACAACATTTTGGAGGTCCCAGGTCGCAAGATGGTTAGATTAGTCTCAACTAGGGCCAGGGCCTTTTCAGTACTGGCCCCGACTTGGTGGAACACTCTGTCACAAGAGACCAGGGCCTTGTGGGACTTGACATCTCTCCGCAGGACCTGCAAGACAGAGCTGTTCCGCCTGGCCTTTGGTTTGGACTCGGTCTGACCCTTATGTTTCCCTCCCCTTACGGTTTTGATCTATGGGCTATTTTTATAATGAGGCTGCGTTTTAAATTTTAACCTGTATTTTAAATTGGTCCCCCCCTATGTTTTTACTGTAATTTTACGGGTGTTAGCCGCCCTGAGCCCGGCTCTGGCCAGGGAGAGCAGGGTATAAATAAAATTTATTATTATTATTAATGTCTCCCAGCTCCTTGTGCCTGTGGCACCAGCTCTGGGACTGTTCATGTGACTGTTTGCCCTGAGGCAACCACAGAGTGAGAAAAAGGCTCCTTCTTATGCAAGCGGGTGACTCCCACAGTATCAGCCTTATGTACCTTTCCATTAAAAAACACATAAGCTCAAGGCAGTTTGCAATCCCTTTCAGAATGAGGGGACCATGTGTGGCGGGTGCTGAAAGCACTGCGCCAGCTGCGATTGGCTGAAAAGACTTCGGTGGTGACACTGGCACTGAGGGCTTCTAGGTTGGCATTGACCCATGCCAGGGCCTTTTCCGTGCTGGTTCCCTAGTGAGGCAAGTCTGTCTCCCAACGTTAGTAACTTTCAGGAGGAATTGGAAAACAGTCCTGTTGGCCTAGGCATTTGATGGCCAAAGGGCAGTCTTCCTGGCAACTCTGAAATTATTGGTTGAGATCATGTGTTTAGAACATTTTAAACTTCTTGGAAGTTTCTAACTGGTTTTAATGTTTTGTCATTGTTGTGTCTGCTGCCCTGGACTCCCTTGAGAGGAAAACAGGATATAGATTGAAATTATTATTATTATTATTACTATGAACTTAAAAATACTGGGAGGAGACAGGTCACAGCAGAGATAAAATCAAGGGACTAGTTAAAAGAATTAGGTTCCAATGATGTGCTTGCTTGCTTCTGTCATAATATGCTTTGGGTAGCACTCCAGGCTGGCAAGAAGGAAGCTTGTTGCGTTGAACATTTTGAGCTCTGAAGTTTACGAGTTCCTTATTTATTACCATATTTTTCGCTCTATAAGATGCACCCGACCATAAGATGCACCTAGTTTTAGAGGAGAACAAGGGAAAAAAATTCTCTCCCTCTCTGCGCAGCGCCTCTCCAGCAAAGCGGGAGGAGAAATGGAAGGGGCTCCGTTTCTCCTTCCGCTTTTCTGAAGGGGCGCTGCGCAGCTTTCCCTTTGAAGGGGTGCTGCGCAGCTATCCCTGAAGCCAGGAGAGCAAAAGGGATCAGTGCACACCGATCCCTCTAGTTCTCCTGGCTTCAGTGAAAACAATGGAAAGCCTCCGGAGCACAACGGGAGGAGCAATCCCGCTGCGCTCTGGAGGCTTTCCGTGGCTATCCCTGAAGCCAGGAGAGCGAGAGGCATCGGTGCGCACTGATCCCTCTTGTTCTCCTGGCTTCAGGGATAGCTGCGCAGACTGCATTCACTCCATGAGACCCACACACATTTCCCCTTACTTTTTAGGAAAGGAAAAGTGCGTCTTATAGCTCAAAAAATACGGTATATTTGCACCCTGCCTTTCTTCCAAGGAGCTCAAGGGCCCTATGTCGTTCTCATTTTATCCTCACGCCAGCCCTGTGAGGTAGGTTAGGCTGAGAGAGGCTGTGCCTGGTCCCCAGTGCCACCCAGTGAGCTTCATGGCCAAGTGGGGATTCCAGCCCTGGTCTCCCAGGTCCTAGTCCAGCGCTCTAACCACTGTGCCATACCTGGGGCTCCTGCAAGATTAGATAACCCCTTTGGGTCTCTTCTGGCTCCAAGAGGGATGCCAGTGTTCCTGTCCTGTCCCTCTGTTGCCCTTATCCATTTATTGGCTGTGATCTGTCATCTGAAAAAGCGTCTCCACCCCCATCGTCCAGCCCGGACACTGAGGTCCAGCTCCGAGGGCCTTCTGACGGTTCCCTCACTGCGAGAAGCCAAGTCACAGGGAACCAGGCAGAGGGCCTTCTCGGTGGTGGCGCCCGCCCTGTGGAACGCCCTCCCACCAGATGTCAAAGAGAAGAACAACTACCAGACTTTCAGAAGACATCTGAAGGCAGCCTTGTTTAGGGAAGCTTTTAATGTTTGATGCCTTACTGTATTTTAATATTTTGTTGGAAGCCGCCCAGAGTGGCTGGGGAAGCCTAGGCAGATGGGCGGGGTATAAATAATATATTATTTATTATTATTATTATTATTATTATTATTATTATTATTTATCATCATCATCATCTTGAAAAGCAGAAGGGTGTGTGTGTTGCGGCATTTGCTTGGTGTGAAACCACACACCCAGTTTGCCCAGAGTCACATGGCTGATCTTGCATTGGTGACTGGAGTTAAGTGAGATTTCTTAGGGAGACCACAAAGAATTGTGTCTAGGCCCTTCTGAACAGGACCTCCTTTTGCCCTTGAGCTGCCTCTCCCAAAAGCATTTGCGGCTCACGTTCTCCAGGGTTTGCGGTGGTTAGCATGAGAGATTCTCTTTGCTAAAACAAAACACCCACACACCCTCTTGGGTTTTAGCTCTGATTTTTTTAATTGCATCTGACTGTTTAATTTAAGCGACCGGCCCACAGCTGCGATGTTGAGGTCACACAGCGCAGATTATTGTTCCATCCTGCAGGGCAACACGGACAAAATCGTTCCTCTTTCAATAGCAATCAAAGCCCCGGTGAGGGAGTCACGTGGCAGCCACACCGCTCCTTCCTGACCATGCTGTGACCCTCCTGATGTGAGCGAGGTCCTGCCTGGGGTCACAGTGGGGCAGGCTTTCCAGATGAACGCTGCAGCCTGCCTGCCTGTGGCAATGTTGCAAACAAAACCTGCCCTTATTCCCTTATGGGGGACACAAGAGTCCTTATAGAGTCCTTTGTAGGTTCTCCATCGGTCAGAGAAAATAACAGAGGCCAACCAGAGAACATTGAGAAGCAAAGCAGCTAGTAAGCCTGATCTTTATTGATCTGTTGCAACAGGGTGCTCCCCTCACACGCAGAAGGAGGAGGAGGAAGACCCAGAACAAAGGTGTGTCCGCTCTTATATAGACATTTTAAATTGCCCACCCTGGAGTCCAAGACCACCCCCAGAAACCTCATACATACATCAAAGAAAAGGCGGTCTGCAATAGAAATCTGAGTGCGTTGTTTATCTCCTGTCTGGCAAGTTACCTGATTGCATTATCTGGGTTTTGGCCACTCTTTTGTTATTATAACTACTTAATCCCTGAATCATACATACATCACAGAAGGGGTGTAGCCCAAGACCACCCCCCAGATACATCATACTACATCACAGAAAAGGCGGTCTGCAACAGAAATTTGAATGTTGTTGTTTTTCCTGTCTGCCAGGTTATCTGATAATGCCTTATCTCCTTGCCTTTTCTGGTAGTCTGGCCATTCCTTTGAGATGGCGATTACCCAATTCCTGAGACAATGGGAAGGTTCCCTCACCCCCTCCCTCCTTGCAGAGAAAACATTTGGTCAGTTTGGGAGTCAAAATGGTTTCAGGACGGTCTTCCTGTGCTGCTCCAGACACGTGGTTTATATATTTATGTACGTGTTTGCTTGGTACACTTATGATCATTTATTATATATATGAGACCTTAAATTTTTTTATTACACAAGTAAGGCCTCCGTTGGGGCTGGGGGAGGTCAGAGGCCCCCCAAAGGCTCTCAGGAGCCTGCCTTGTTCCAGACGCTTGCTTGAGAAAAATTCCCCTCCCTCTCTCATAACACTAGGACTCGTTAAAGGCGATGTAAACTTTGTACACCAGTGTAAAAGATTACGATTAGCTGTGATCTGTCCGGGGTTTGTGTGTTTGTGTCTGGCTTTATCTCATTTGAGTAGAATGTGTGCTTCCATTTAAAATGCACCTCTGGGTTATTTGTGGGGCCTGCCTGGTGCTTCTACACGAGTAGAATGTGTCCTTTTATTTAAAATGCATCTCTGGGTTATTTGTGGGGCATAGGAATTCGTTCATTATTTCCCCCCGAAAAACAATATAGTCCAGCCCACCACATGGTCTGAGGGACTGTGGACCGGTCCCCTGCTGAAAAAGGGTGCTGACCCCTGCTCTGGGTCCCTTCGCAGCTCTGTGGAGCCAAGGAGGTGGTTGGGCTGCTGCCGAGCAGTGCTGCTGCCACCAGGATGCAACCCTTAAGTCAGCCTGCTTGCCCTGTGTCAGCCTGTGATGGAGAAGGGGGAGCATGGTTCATCCTCCCCCCTGCCTGGGCTGCCCACTCCCTCACTTCTGGCAAAGGGGCTGGTTTTGTTTTGGTCAAGGTGAGGGCTTATTCAGTTCCTGGATCCGGCCATCAGAACCGGGGAGGGAGGCGGGGGGCCGTTGGGACACAGAGAGCCTCCGAAACTCCAGTGGGGAAGAGAGGGAAGGGGCCAGCCGAGCGAGGAAAGGGCTCAAGGATGCTGCTGAGAGCCCTTGCACCTCATCTCGCCAGGCTGGCCAGGAGGGACACACAGCCCTTCCGTCGCCCACCTTGCGCAGAGGGGTGAAACGCAAGGAGGGGAGGAGGAGGCTTGGGGTGCCGAAGTTCTTACGTTGGGGGAGAAGCTGGAAGGGGCCACTCCCGGATTCTGCAAGTGACTGAGACGGACATGAAGTTGGTAGATCTGCACTGTAAATGTTGTTGTTTAGTCATTTAGTTGTGTCCGACTCTTCATGACCCCCTGGACCAGAGCACGCCAGGCCCTCCTGTCTTCCACTGCCTCCCGCAGTTTGGTCAAACTCATGCTGGCAGCTTCGAGAACACTGTCCCACCATCTCGTCTTCTGTCGTCCCCTTCTCCTTGCGCCCCCCATCTTTCCCAACATCAGGGTCTTTTCCAGGGAGTCTTCTCATGAGGTGGCCAAAGTCTTGGAGCCTCAGCTTCAGGGTCTGTCCTTCCAGTGAGCACTCAGGGCTGATTTCCTTCAGAATGGAGAGGTTGGATCTTCTTGCAGTCCATGGGACTCTCAAGAGTCTCCTCCAGCACCAGAATTCAAAAGCATCAATTCTTCGGCGATCAGCCTTCTTTATGGTCCAGCTCTCACAGTAAATAGTTTGAGGAATAAAACCTATAAAAGCCAGATCAGAGTCCTACTTGGTTACTCACGAGCAACCACCAGCAGCACCTGACACTTATTGATGTGCATCTTAAGCCTGTTGTGTTGCTGACATGCACCCTAAACGCCTGTTCTTGCCCAGCCAAGTATAAACAGTCGACAACTTGCGGTGTCAAGGGAGCCTGGGTTACAAACCTGGGCCAGGACAGGCCAAGGTGTTAACCTGCTTACCCAACCTGGCCAACCTGAGTGGCTTCCCTGCCTGCGTCACCTCGGCTGCTCCCGGGACTGTCAATGCGCTTCAGTGCCAGAGGTGTTTGTGGTCACTGCTGTGCTCTCTTTGTTACGTCATGCGGAAAGGCGATTCCTCCCAAGCACAGGGAAGAAGAGCCTTAAAGGAGTTAGCAGCCCTTTAAGGTGATCAAAACCGCAGCTGACGGATTGCCCAGTGTGTGGTGTTGTAAACAAAAATCTGCCCTTTTCCCTTATGCGGTATCCAAGAGCCCATATAGAGTCCTTACGTAGGTTCCCTATTGGTAGGAGAAAATAACAGAGGCCAACCAGAGAATATTGAGAAGCAAAGCAGCTAGTAAGCCTGATCTTTATTGATCTGTTGCAACAGGGTGCTCCCCTCACACGCAGGAGAAGGAGGAGGAACCCAGAACAAAGGTGTGCCTGCCCTTATATAGACATTTTTAATTCCCTGCCCTGGAGCTCAAGACCACCCTTCCATACATCATACATACATCACAGAAAAGGTGGTCTACAGCAGAAATCTGAGTGCGTTGTTGTTTATCTTGTCTGACAGGTTACCTGTTAATGCTCACTTGATTGGATACCCTGGGGAGCCTGGCCGGTCTTTTGTAATGAGGAATACTTAGTTCCTGAGCCAGCTCACAGGCTTACCCTATTCTAACACAGACAGACATACCCTTAAGACAGGATTTGTGAAGGAAAAGACAGTGGGGAGGCTTCTCCATTTTCCTTTGGCCTTTCAGGGAAAACATTTGGTCAGTTTGGGAATCAAAAATGGTTTCAGGTCGGTCTTCCTGTGGTGATCTATGTACGTGCTTGGTTGGTACATTTATGAACATTTATTATATATCTAAGACCTTAAGATTCTTATCAGAATGGCTTGTAATTTGTTCGGCTGAAACCTCACTCAATAGCACCCTCTGGATCACTGATTCCATGCACCACGACCGCACTGCATAGGAATGTGCAGGGAGAGAACCTCCAGCTTCCAGATGCTGGGAACTGGGGTACGTGGGTGATAAAACTATGGAGAGAAACTGGGAAATATAACTTTATTTCATCTTACAGTGCACATAGAACAGAGAGAACAGCTACATAAGTGGGTGAAATTTAAAAGAGGAGGAAGAAAGCTGTTTTCCATTGAATCTGTGTGGATTATACAGGGGGGAGTCCTTGTTTCTCTTCCTATCCTTGCACCCTCTTGTTCCCTTTGACTCCCTGACCCAGTCTGGGCATAGCTGGCAACCTTCCCTTTATTTGCGGGAAATTCCCTTATTCCAGCGCTGTTTCCCACTGCTTCCCACTGCTATCCCGGATTGTTAGATATCCCGTAGACTGTCCCCGGGACAGGTGAGGCTGCTGATCCCTTATTTTCAAATCTGAAAGTTGACAGCTATGAGTCTGGGCTCTCCCCTCCTGCTTGTCTAAAAAGGGTCTTTTGTTTCTTGCAGTTCGCCACTTCCTCCAGACCGGCCTCAGCCCCAATTTGTACAATGAAGATGGCCTCACTGCCTTGCACCAGGTGAGCCCAGTGCCTGCCTTCCAGGTTCCCCACCTGCCTCTCGTCATCGGTGCCAGCCAGCCACAGGGTATAAAGGGCCTGGCATGATCATAGGATCATAGACTTATATGGCCTCTCTGCTCTGCTCACCCCACCGCTTGCTGCCCGCCCCCACCCTTTGGGCAAGGCAGCAGCAGCCTCCAGTGCCAAATGGCCGAAGTAATTTCCTTCTGCTGATCCTTTGCATGCTGTGAACTCTGGTTGAAAAATGTGCCCCTGCTGAGCCTTTAATCCCAGCCCTCGCTTGCAAAATGAAGGTGGGGGGGAGGTTGGACAGGGCAAGGTGGGAATTCCTTCTTTGCAGACAGGCGGTTGCCAACCCTTCTCCCCTCTTGGGTAATGGATTTCCTAGGAGGAATGTTCATTGCCGCCCAGCTGTATTTAGGAAGCTGTCAATAATAATAATAATAATAAATTTTTATTTATATCCCGGCCTCCCCAGCTGAAGCCAGGCTCAGAGCGGCTAACAGCAATAAAAGTAACACAGCATTCTAAAATCAATTCATTCTAAAATCAATTCAAAATCAAATCCATGGCAACTATTGGGCTAGAGTTCTGTGAGGATGACCAAAGGAGGGAGTCAGACTGTGCCTTGGCCAAAGGCCTGGTGGAACAGCTCTGTCTTGCAGGCCCTGCGGAAAGATGTCAAGTCCCGCAGGGCCCTGGTCTCTTGGGACAGAGCGTTCCACCAGATCGGGGCCACAGCCGAAAAAGCCCTGGCTCTGGTTGAGGCCAGCCTAACCTCTCTGTGGCCCAGGACCTCCAAGATGTATTTATTTGTAGACCGTAAGGTCCTCCGTGGGACATAACTGGAGAGGTGGTCCCGTAGGGACGAGGGTTCTAGGCCATATAGGGCTTTAAAGGTTTAAACCCTCACCTTGAACCTGATTCGGTACTCCACCAGGAGCCAGTGCAGCCTTGTAACTATGGAAGGGGGAAGTTAGAGTTCCACAGTTTCTTTCAGCTGTTCATTTCCCTGCCTATATCCTTCCTTGCCTGGGGTGTGTGTGTGTGTGTGTGTATGAGTAGCAAGAAGAAGCCACTTGCACTAGGTGGGAATCTGCCCCCCTCCTCCCAAGAAGTCCTCCATGAATGATATGGAGCAATCTACTCTGAGGGGTGGTCCTTGCTTGTGGGGTTTGCGGGCAGCTTCCCATCTCATAAGCTGTCATTTATGCCCTCTCTTTCTTCCCATCCTCTTTCAATTATAACCCCCCCCCCAAAAAAAGAAATTAAACAGTTGCATTTTATAAACGTAGAAATCGGAGCGGAGTGTAAGAGTTCATCTTTCAGAGTTCTGCTTCCTGTTCAAAGAAGAAAAAGAGAGCAAGTTTTTAGACCGAAAGGATGCAAATTTGGGCCTGCCTGAAGTGTGTGGGCAATGGCTGCAGCTGGCGCTTGTGGGCAGGAGCACCAGTGGTTAGAGGGGGGTCTGCCTGGCAGCAGGGAGGTGTATTTATTCCCTCTTGGCTTTTTTGCATAATACATACAGCTGCAAACTCAGTTTCCTTTAATGTGCTGTTCTGGCACGGAGTCTTTTATACACCAAGGTTTTGCAGTCCTTGAGCTTCCACCGCTCATCTTCTCTGGTCCTGGTGGGGTCCTTGCCCTGAGCAGAGAACCAAATCCTGCAGGTCCAGGAGGCCAAATGAGTCCGTTCTGAAATTCCAGCAGCCTGGTTATGAGGCTTAGCGGGTTTTATCCTGGCTGAGAGGCAGCCCTGGTAAAAAGCTCTTGTGCTCAGAATCGTAGAATTGGAAGGGACCCCGAGGGTCATCTAGTCCAACCTCCTGCAATGCAAGAAACTCAACTAAAGCATCCATGACAGATGGCCACCCATCCTCTGCAATAATAATAATAATAATAATAATAATAATAAAAATTTATACCCCGCCCTCCCCAGCCAAGACCGGGCTCAGGGCAGCTAACACCAGGTATAAAAACAATTGATTAAAATACAACTTAAAAACAAGATTAAAATACAACATTAAAATGCAGCCTCATTTCAGTAGAAACTCAAATCAAAAACTTTTTGGGGGATGAAAACGTCAAGTCTTCACCAAGGCCAACTATCCAGACTGGTCCTACATGGGCCAGAAAAAAGCCAGGGAAGTCCCCAAATAGGAGTTCCATCACAGAAGGAGAAAGGAAAGAGGGGAAGGGGGTCAAGTGGATTCCAAGCCAAAGGCCAGGCGGAACAACTCTGTCTTACAGGCCCTGCGGAAAGAAATCAGATCCTGCAGGACCCTGGTCTCATGAGAAAGAGCGTTCCACCAGGCTGGGGCCAGAGTTGAAAAGAATCATAGAATCATAGAGTTGGAAGAGACCACAAGGGCCATCGAGTCCAACCCCCTGCCAAGCAGGAAACACCATCAGAGCACTCCTGACATATGGTTGTCAAGCCTCTGCTTAAAGACCTCCAAAGAAGGAGACTCCACCACACTCCTTGGCAGCAAATTCCACTGTCAAACAGCTCTTACTGTCAGGAAGTTCTTCCTAATGTTTAGGTGGAATCTTCTTTCTTGTAGCTCTGGTTGAGGCTAGTCTGACTTCCTTAGGGCCCGGGACCTCTAGGGTGTTGCTATTTATGGACCTTAAGGTCCTTTGCGGGGCAGACTGGGAGAGGCAGTCCCGTAGGTATGAGGGTCCTTAAAGACCTCCAGCTTCCTCAGCCCAGGCTGTGTGTGGTGCATTTTCCATGGGGGAGCCCATGAGAGGGATCCTAGATCTGTCCCTCTTGTGTGAAAGTGATGCCCCGTGGGGTGGGAAGGGCCGAGAGGGCTGAAGGAGGGGAGGTCGCTCTCTGTTGGGCAGAAGCCACACTCTGAATTGGTCTCCTGGAGGGGAGTGGGGTGTGTTTTGAGGGCAAGCGAAGCTCCCCACGAGAGCCCCTCTGCTCTGCCTTGGCCTCATGCCTCTTCTCCCCTTCTTCCCTTCCTCTCAGTGCTGCATTGACGACTACAGGGACATTGTGCAGCTGCTGCTGGAAGCCGGGGCCGACGTCAACGCCTGCGACAGTGAGCTCTGGACCCCTCTGCATGCCGCCGCCACCTGCGGGCACCTGCATCTGGTGGAGCTGCTCATTGACAAGTAAGGGCCACGAGGGAGACCCCCCCAGGGCCAGGGGATGGGCCCCCGCTGTCGGAGTTGCGTTCGACCGGGCGACTCCTCCGCCGGTTGAGCCCTTCGGAATCGCCTCTGATGTGATTAACGACCTGAGCCTCTGATGAGGCTCCAAGCACATTCCCATTACGCAAAGTATCCAGCAGCAGAAGGGACGAGATTTATGAGCTACATTGCAAAGAGTTTTATTAATAATAATAAGAAGAAATTTTATTTATACCCCGCCCTCCTCACCCAAGACCAGGCTCAGGGCGGCTAACAATCAATAATAAAACCAAGTTAATTAAAATACAATTTAAAAAAAGATTAAAATACAACATTAAAACATTAGGATGTAGCCTCTTCACAGGAGGAGAAAGGCAAAAGAAAGAGGGGGAGGGAATCAAACTGATTCTAAGCCAAAGGATAGATGAAACAACTCTGTCTTACAGGCCCTGTGGAAAGAAATCAGATCCCGCAGGGCCCTGGTCTCATGAGACAGAGCGTTCCAGCAGGCCGGAGAAGGCACTGGCTCTGCTTGAGACTAATGTAATTTCCTTAGGGCCCAGGACCTCTAGGGTGTTGCTATTTATGGACCTTAAGGTCCTCTGTGGGGCATACCAGGAGAGGCGGTCCTGTAGGTACGAGCTTATTACTAAGCTACGCAGACAGAAAAGAAATCATCCTCTCTCTGTGAAAGACAGAGAGCAACTGAACAACAAAGGAACGGGAAACCAGTAACATCACATCCGTCTCCTGTCTTCCGTGAGACTTCCAATAGTCTGGAATCCCAGGAATGTAAACAGAGTCCTGTGACTCCAAGAGCACTGCACAGTGGCACAAACAGAAACTAACACCCGCATGGGCATCTCTGCAGGGCCCCTGAGAAGGGGCCACACTTCGAAACCTGAGCGGGGAGGCCCTTGCGCTAGTCGAGTGTAGGAACCTGCCTGGTGTAGGGCTTCAGGGAGGGTCTTCTTGTGAGCCGGAGGCGCGGTGGGGCTTTGTTGAGGCTGCTCAGCTTCCCTGCCTAACAACTGACAAATGGGGCAGCAGAGCAGCCACTGCTTTAGCCTCAACCGAGCAGCCTCCACAAGGTCCCGCTGCGCCTCTGGATCATGAGGAGACCCCATAGCATCTTTGGGCTCTGGGGAGGGTCTCCTCGCAAGTCACCCGCCACTTCCCGGTTCCTGGCACCGCATGTGTGTGCAATCGCATGCAAGTGGGGAGTTGCAGGGGTCTCTTTCTCTTCTTTCTCCCCGGGATGCCTCCCATCTCTAAGCTGTTAACAGGATCCGGGCATCCTTGCGACCCACTGCACTCGCTGTGGGAGGCAGCCTGCCCCTCCTCCCCATGGCATCATTACCAGGCTCCTCACCTCACCTGGAATTGAGGTCACGTTCTTGGGCTGCGCTGCAATTGTTTTGGATCTCACTTGTAGGGCTGTAAATATTTAACAGGCTTGCATTGTTGGCAGAGCAACTGTGTCACTGGTGTAGTTGGCTGCCTGCAGGGGATCTCCTGTGAGCAAAACGTCCGCTCTGCCAATGAGAGAGCTTTCTGCAGAAACCTGTAGCAGTCTTCTAGTCTTCTCCCATGGGCGAAAGGCCCTTTCGCCTTGTGGCAGAGAGTTCCCCAGCTGCTGTGCCTTGAGTTGCGGGTCTCCCTGCCTGGTGAGGGCTCCTGTATCCTTTGCCTCACGTAGACGTGCTTCAGCCCTCGCTGCTGCGATGAAGAGAGGCTTAAACAGGAGGGAGCATGAAGGAAACCGTCACAGATTGCGAATGGGGGATAGGTAGAAATGGCCTTGCTTCCTCAAAAACAGCAGCTTGGAGCTTTTGCTGGAATTGATGCGCAGGTTTACGGCACATCAAAAGAAGCTCCCATTTCCACATTATACAATGAACCTATGGAACTCATGGCTGCAGGATGCTGTGATGGCTACCAACGTAAGTGCCGCTAAGAAAGGAAGACGCAGACAGGGGAACTCAAGGCAGCAGCTAAGTCAACGCCCCCTGATATGCCAAAGTGCAACCTCTGTTCTGGGGACATGTTCAGCCCCTGAGTGCCAGAAAGTGTGGGGGTGGGTGGTGTGGGGGTGGGGGAGAGATTGCCCCCCTGCGACCCCCTCCAGACCGCCCCTGGCCTGTTTGGCTTGCCACTACTTAGAGGCAGGATGTGAAGCTCTGAGGATCATTGGCCCCACCCAGCAAGGCAATTCCTTTGGCTCAGTTTCTTCCGTGAAGACCTAGGTTTGAGGGGTGTTTGGGGTGAAAGGGGGTGCGAATGCTGGGAAGGAGGTGAAATCTGCACCCCAGGGGCGCTGGGGCCTCAGCAGACCCCTTTCCCTTTTGGCCCCTGGCCGTTGTTGCTGCTTTATATTTTAAAGAACCAATCTCAGAGCGGTTTACAACACATTAAAGCATCAAATAAAACAATACAGAACAAAAGACACTCAAGCTTCAAGGAAAATATTTCCAGATCCTACTCTGAGTGGCTTTTTGCTTTCCCCAGTCGCCAGCCTGGCATCCAGATATCTCCACGTGGTCTCAATTGGACCTGAGCCAGTCGCAAAACACACCTGGGGAATTTCTAGCACTGAAAAGCACAGGTCACTTTCAGCTTTTGGAGCGGGGGGGGGGGTGGCAGAAAAAGTAGGTAATGAATTAATTTTGGTGGTGGCAAGAATGTAAAACAAGTTAGCACATTCTCTTGTTTTGCATTGTGACGCTGCTGTCTGCAGCTGGCCTTGCCCCCCCCCCCCGTTCCAGCATCTCCCCTCTTATCCGCTGCTCCCTTCTGACTCCAGGGTGGCCTTGAGGGGGTTCAGGAGCCCCTTCCTTGAGGCTGCAGGGCTCTTGCAGGAGGGAGAGGCGGGGTGCTGTGGGGGAGCAGGATCCTGTTTCAGCCGCTCTCCCCAGCCGAGGGCGAGGAGGAAACTCAATCTGCAGCGCGCTCTGAAGAGGACCCACAAAGCATGTTTTCCTAGTGCTGCTGCTCCGGAACGGAAATAACTCCTTGTATCTGTTACACAACCAAGAGTTGGACCGTGCCATTGGCAGTGGCCCTGGGCACGGCAGAGGGACGCTTGCTTGCTTGCTTGCCTGCCTGCCAACCGCTTCTTCCTCTCCTCCTCCAGAGGCGCCAACCTGCTGGCCGTCAACTCGGATGGGAACATGCCGTACGACCTCTGCGAGGACGATGCCACGTTGGACTACCTGGAAACAGCCATGGCCGACCAAGGTGGGTCCTCTCCTCTCGGGCTATTCGGAAGCAGCAGGGAGAACCTTCTGACGGCAAGAGCCGTTCAGCGGACTCCCTCGGAAGGCGGTGGTCTCTCCTTCCTTGGAGGTTTCTCAGCAGAGGTTAGGGGAGGCATCTGTCATGGCAATTCCTGCATTGCAGGGGGTTGGACTAGATGGCCCTCGGGGTCCCTTGCAACTTTTAAGCACAGGAGTGTTTTACCAGGGCTGCTGTTGTAGTGCAACGGCATCTGGAGGCCCAGTGCCGAGGGCCTTCTGGCGGTTCCCTTGCTGCGAGAAGCCAAGTTACAGGGAACCAGGCAGAGGGCCTTCTCGGTGGTGGTGCCCGCCCTGTGGAACGCCCTCCCACCAGATGTCAAAGAGAACAACAACTACCAGACTTTTAAAAGACATCTAAAGGCAGCCCTGTTTAGGGAAGCTTTTAATGTTTAATAGGTTATTGTATTTTAGTGTTTTGTCGGAAGCCGCCCAGAGTGGCTGGGGAAACCCAGCCAGATAGGCGGGGTATAAATAATAAATTATTATTATTATTATTATCTGGAGGGCCACAGGTGGCCCAGAGGGGGCTATCGGTGCCCACTAGCCAGGATGCATGGTGCTGACAATGCCAAGGTTGCAGGTTCGATCTTTGCATGCGACAGCTGCCTCTTCCTGTTCAGGGAAGTTTTTAATGTGTGACATTTTAATGTATTTTTAATCTTTGTTGGAAGCCGCCCAGAGTGGCTGGGGAGACCCAGCCAGATGGGCGGGGTACAAATAATAAAATTATTATTATTATTATTATTCCTGCCTTGCAGAGGTTGGACTGCATGATCCTCAGGGTCCCTCCCAACTCCCTTCCAACTCTACAATTCTGTGGTTTTGCTCGGCCTCCACAGCTGGAGGAAACTGCAATAGGGGAGAAAGTGCTCTTGTGCTCAGGTTCTACTCGCTGGTTTCCTGCAAGAACATGGGCCCTGGGCCTGATCCGGCAGGCTCTTCCGGTGTTCCTAAGGAGCAGCCGGAGCCCTGGTGGAGGACGTGTCTCTGGGCAGGTCCTCGGTGCCCTTGCCGGAGAGGCACTGCCCTGCTTCCTCTTCCCGGCGCATTGTCCCCCTGCCAGCCCACAGTGTGCTGCTTTCCATTCATCCTCTTCCTCTCCATCCTCAGGTATCACTCAGGACACCATTGAGGAGGCTCGTTCTGCTGTGGAGCGTGCCATGGTGGACGACATCCGCCGGCTGGTGAAGGAAGGGGTGGACCTGAATACGCCGCTGGACCACAGTGCCACCCTGGTGAGATGGGTGCGCAGGGCCTGGCTTTGAGGCGGGTGGTGGGAACGGACACATCTCCCCCCCTCTTGCTCTAAGTGCTGGCATCTCCTTTCCCCCCACAAAGCCCAGAGAAATTGCCAGGCCCAGGATCTTTCTTTCAAGGGAAGGCTGGCAGAATATGTAAGATTTAAGGGCACCTGAAGGGCACCGTCCCAGCCCACAAAATGCAGTCCAGTGGGTCTGCCTGATCTATTCTCTGCCTCGGTGTTGACTCTGCCCCTGCTGTTTCAAAGAAGAGGGAAATGGCTCAGGTGGTGTTGAGCTCCAAGCCGGGAAAGCTTTTCACTTACAGTGGTACCTCAGGTTACAGACGCTTCAGGTTACAGACTCCGCTAACCCAGAAATAGTGCTTCAGGATGAGAACAGAAATCGTGCTCTGGTGGCGTGGCAGCAGCAGGAGGCCCCATTAGGTAAAGTGGTGCTTCAGGTTAAGAACAATTTCAGGTTAAGTACGGACCTCCAGAACGAATTAAGTACTTAACCCGAGGTACCACTGTATTCGCTTATTTCCTAAAATTTATACACCACTTGATTGGTTAAAAAAACCAAAACACCTCAAAGCGGTTTGTGAAAAAGATAAAACAATAAAGTTACCAATAAGAAAAATAAACAACAATAATATAAAACTTTCAAAAGTTAAGAACAGCAGTAGACCAAAGAGCAGATTAAAACTCGCACCAGCTTTCTGAACATCTGAGTAGACTTGTATGAACAAGAATGTTCTTAGCAGGTGCTGGAAAGGGAATAGCAAAGGACCCTGCCTGGTGTCACTAGGCAGGGAGTTCCAAAGTGTAAAAGATCGAGTTCTTACCAGCTGTTATGTGGCGCCTGCAAATGTGCCGTGAAATGGGTTTGAGCATCTCCGTGGGTTTAAGGCAGCGGGCGGGCGATCCCACCCAGGTGTTCCTCACCCGAGGCCGCAGCTCAGGCTGAATTGGTGGGACGTGGATTCTGCGCATGCCTCCGCGTCCTGCCTTGCCCTTTCCTCACTGCCCTCTCTGCCCCGCAGCTGCACATCGCCTCTGCCAACGGCTACCTGGAGGCAGCCGAGCTGCTGCTGGAGCACAAAGCCAGCATGAGCGCCAAGGACGACGACGGCTGGCAGCCCCTCCACGCGGCCGCTTGCTGGGGCCAGGTGAGTGCCAGAGGGCTCCGGAAGGAGGAAATGGGGGGCCGGGGGCCTTGCAGAAGCAGCCTTGGCATGGGGAGCAGCGGACGCTGGCAGACGCTCCTCCAGGGCAAGGTGCTGCCCCCCAGTGGCCAAGGCCGCTCTCTGCAGCCTTTTCCTGGCAGATCGTTGACCATCGTAATCCCATTAATCTGAGTCCGTCTAGAGACCAGATGGCCCTGGTGATCCCCTGCTCAGTTCGATAAGCCAGGGATTTCCTAAGGCAGCTGGCGGTAATACAGGCAATTAGCCAGCCGTTCCGGGCATTGGCGGAGGCCGCTGTGGGTACGGGAGCTCTGCAGGAGGGTTCTGGCGCTGTTTGCTAGAGCAATCCCAACACTGGAGAAGCCATGGGCAGGGTCAGGGTCTGCAAAGCCAGCACTCTGCAGAGAGAGGATGGGCAGACCTGAACAGACCGCAGGAAAAGTAATAATAATAATAATAATAATAATTTATTATTTATACCCCACCCATCTGGCTGGGTTTCCCCAGCCATTCTGGGCGGCTTCCAACAAAACATTAAAATACAATAATTCATCAGATATTAAAAGCTTCCCTAAACAGGGCTGCCTTCAGATGTCTTCTAAAAGTCTGGTAGTTGTTGTTCTCTTTGACATCTGGTGGGAGGGCGTTCCACAGGGCAGGAGCCACCACCGAGAAGGCCCTCTGCCTGGTTCCCTGTAACTTGGCTTCTCGCAGTGAGGGAACTGCCAGAAGGCCCTCGGCGCTGGACCTCAATGTCCGGGCTGAACGATGGGGGTGGAGATGCTCCTTCAGGTATACTGGGCCCTTTAGGGCTTTAAAGGTCAACACAAACACTTTGAATTGTGCTCAGAAATGTCCTGGGAGCCCGTGTAAGTCCAAGGGGTGGGGAAGTTTTTACAGGTAAGTTGATTCTTTTCCAGTGACCTGAAAGAGTGCCAGGAAACAGGAGAAGGTTGAAGCTGCAAGGATGACATTCGGGAGAAGGGAAGACTCTTAAGGGCCCTGAGACTCATCTCAGCTGTAGAACAGCAGTTCTGCCCTTCTGGAAGGGAGCGGGAGGCAGACCCCCCCCCCCAGACTCTGAATGCATTTCTAAAGTAACACAGAAAGCTGCCTTAGCTTGTTGATTCACCTAACTCAGTACTGCTTTTACTGACTGGCAGTGGTCCCTCAAAGCTTTAGAGAGGGAGTCTGAATGTGGCTTAAATGTTGGAAGTTGCAGGGCAGGTAAAAGAAAGTCCTTCTTCATGCAGCGCCCAGTTAAACTCTGGAACTCTCTCCCACATGAGGCAGGGATGGCTACAAACCTAGATGGCTTCAAAAGAGGATGAGGCAAATTCATGGAGGAGGACTGTCAACAACAACAACAACAACAACAACAATAATAATTTATTATTTATTATTTATACCCCGCCCATCTGGCTGGGTTTCCCCAGCCATTCTGGGCGGCTTCCAACAAAACATTAAAATACAATAATTCATCAGATATTAAAAGCTTCCCTAAACAGGGCTGCCTTCAGATGTCTTCTAAAAGTTGGATAGTTGTTCTTCTCTTTGACATCTGGTGGGAGGGCGTTCCACAGGGCAGGAGCCACCACCGAGAAGGCCCTCTGCCTGGTTCCCTGTAACTTGGCTTCTCTCAGGGAGGGAACCGCCAGAAGGCCCTTGGCGCTGGACCTCAATGTCTGGGCTGAACGATGGGGGTGGAGATGCTCCTTCAGGTATACTGGGCCCTTTAGGGCTTTAAAGGTCAACACAAACACTTTGAATTGTGCTCAGAAACGTCCTGGGAGCCCATGTAAGTCCAAGGGGTGGGGAAGTTTTTACAGGTAAGAATCAACTGATTCTTTTCCAGTGACCTGAAAGAGTGCCAGGAAACAGGAGAAGTTTGAAGCTGCAAGGATGACATTCGGGAGAAGGGAAGACTCTTAAGGGCCCTAAGACTCATCTCAGCTCTAGAACAGCAGTTCTGCCCTTCTGGAAGGGAGCGGGAAGCAGACCCCCCCCCCCCAGACTCTGAATGCATTTCTAAAGTAACACAGAAAGCTGCCTTAGCTTGTTGATTCACCTAACTCAGTACTGCTTTTACTGACTGGCAGTGGTCCCTCAAAGCTTTAGAGAGGGAGTCTGAATGTGGCTTAAATGTTGGAAGTTGCAGGGCAGGTAAAAGAAAGTCCTTCTTCATGCAGCGCCCAGTTAAACTCTGGAACTCTCTCCCACATGAGGCAGGGATGGCTACAAACCTAGATGGCTTCAAAAGAGGATGAGGCAAATTCATGGAGGAGGACTGTCAACAACAACAACAACAACAACAACAATAATAATTTATTATTTATTATTTATACCCCGCCCATCTGGCTGGGTTTCCCCAGCCACTCTGGGCAGCTTTCAACAGAATATTAAAATACAATAGTCTATTAAACATTAAAAGCTTCCCTAAACAGGGCTGCCTTCAGATGTCTTCTAAAAGTTTGGTAGTTATTTTTCTCTTTGACATCTGGTGGGAGGGTGTTCCACGGGGCAGGTGCCACTACTGAGAAGGCCTTCTGCCTGGTTCCCTGTAACTTGGCTTTTTGCAGTGAGGGAACCACCAGAAGACCCTCGGTGCTGGACCTCAGTGTCCGGGCTGAACGATGGGGGTGGAGATGCTCCTTCAGGTATACAGGACCGAGGCCGTTTAGGGCTTTAAAGGTCAGCACCAACACTTTGAATTGTGCTCGGAAACGTATTGGGAGCCCATGTAGGTCTTTCAAGACCGGTATTATGTGGTCTTGGCGGCCGCCCCCAGTCACCAGTCTAGCTGCCGCATTCTGGATTAGTTGCAGTTTCCGGGTCACCTTCAAAGGTAGCCCCACGTAGAGCGCATTGCAGTAGTCCAAGCGGGAGATAACCAGAGCATGCACCACTCTGGCGAGACAGATGGCTTCTAGTCAGGATAGCTCTGCTCTGCTTCCATGGCTGGAGGCAGCAGAGCTTCTGAATCTCATTCCTGGAAACCCCAGGAGGGGAGAGTTGCTCTTGTGCTCAGATCCTGCTTGTGGGCTTCACATTAGAGCATCTGCTTGGCTGCTATGAGAACAGGATGCTGGACTCGATGGGCCATTGGCCTGATCCTGCAGGCTCTTATGTTCATATGTGAGGCGGCATTCCTCTGATAGCTAGAGGTATTGATTGCCCTCACCTTCCTGCCTTGCTGGGAGGTGAACTTCCTGGGAGCCCCTGACTGGCCACTACTGAGGAGACAGAACGAAGTGGACCACCCCCATCATTCTGCCCGGACGCTGAGGTCCAGCTCCGAGGGCCTTCTGGCAGATCCCTCACTGCGAGAAGCAAAGCTACAGGGAACCAGGCAGAGGGCCTTCTCAGTAGTGGCACCTGCCCCGTGGAACGCCCTCCCACCAGATGTCAAAGAGATAAACAACTACCTGACATTTAGAAGACATCTGAAGGCAGCCCTGTTTAGGGAAGCTTTTAATGTTTAATAGGTTATTGTATTTTAGTGTTCTGTTGGAAGCCGCCCAGAGTGGCTGGGGAAACCCAGCCAGATGGGCGGGGTATAAATAAATTATTATTATTATTATTGGAGCTGATCCCAGCAGCCTAGCTACTGTCTCACCCTGTCACGGCTGCCTCCCTTTGCTAAAACCTCTTCTCTCCTGCTGGCAGATTCACCTGGTGGAGCTGTTGGTGGCTCACGGAGCAGATCTCAACGGCAAGTCGGTGTTGGATGAGACCCCGCTTGGTGAGTAGGTTGGGTGTGTGTGTATTTGCATCAGAACTGGGGCAGCTGCTTTGGCTTCCTGGGCCCAGGCCCGTTTTATTTCTGTTGACGCTGACGGCTGCGGTGCAAAGGCGAATAGCTTCCAAGGCCGAGAGAACAAGGACCTTGCTTCTTCTTGCTACTGCACCCCTTCCCAGGGCAGAGTCTTCTCCTGCTTCCTTGGGGCTGGGCAGTGGTGGTTGCACTCTGGAAAATCCTTAGCGCAAACCTCAGCGTGGAGAATCTCATCGCATTTTATGCCTTCTGCCAGTGTGCAATTTGGGGGCAGGGCTGTAGTTCAATGCCAGAGCCTTTGCCTTGGGTGTCTGCATGCAGGAGGTGCCATGTTCAGTCCAAAAGGGCATCTCCAAGTAGGGCTCAGAGAGACTCCTGTCTGAATCCCTGGAGCAGCTGCTGCCAGTCTGTGTAGGCGATATTGACATAGGTGGACCCATGGTCTGACTCAGGGCAAGGCAGTTTCCTAATCACATCGCTCCAAGAATTCTGTGGATACAGTACTCATATACTGTGTACCCCTAAATCCTTGAACTGCCTTGCAGCTACTGGATGAGGTAGTGAGAGAGAGAGAGAGCGGGGGGGGGGGGGAGCATGCCCAGCGCTCCCAGAGCTGATGTGCTGAGTGGCCCTTCCTGACAAGTAAGGGTGAGCTTAAAAGCTCCTTTGTGTAATAGTAATAGTAATTTATTATTTGTACCCGGCCCATCAGGCTGGGTTTCCCCAGCCACTCTGGGCGGCTTCCAACAAAGATCAAAAATACATTAAAATGTCACACATTAAAAACTTCCCTGAACAGGGCTGCCTTCAGATGCCCTCTGCCTGGTTCCCTGTAACTTGGCTTCTCGCAGTGAGGGAACTGCCAGAAGGCCCTCGGAGCTGGACCTCAGTGTCTGGGCAGAACGATGGGGGTGGATCCACCAAGTGGGTCCACTTGGGTTACACAGCTACGAAAAGAGCTTTTAAGCTGTCTGCCTCTCTTCGCTGGGCAAGGCCCACTCAGAGCAATGGCACTGGAAGGCCAGGAATGGTCGCACGAGATATCGCGGGAACTCGGGCGGCCCTGCGAGATCTCGCAAGAGCACCCTGGAATTGGTGCCCTGAGTAGGCCTTGCTCCTTCCACCCCAAGCAGAGCTAAAGCTCTTTCCGCACCCCAAGCGGAAACCCAGCATAGAAAGAGCTTTCAGGCTCTCTCCCTTGCTTGGATTTAACTTGTACGATTTCAACCAGTCCCTCTTAAACCGTGCACATAAGCAGAATTTGGCACTTAAGGTCTCTGCTCTATTTATTTTTTTAAAAGTCTCTAGTCCTTCTGACTAGAGGAAAATCTGACAGTGTCTGTCTAGATCTCGGAAGGGAGGGCGCCGCTGAACTGGGCTTGCTGTGCCGTGTCCTTGCTGCTGGGCAGAGGCTCCAGGTTCGGCAAAGGTGATGGAGGGAAGACGGGTCTGGTCCAGAATGTCCCCCACGCCCCCGGTTCCTGACTCTCGCCTTTCCTCTTCCTGCCAGACGTGTGTGCCGACGAGGAAGTGCGGGCCAAACTCCTGGAGCTGAAGCACAAGCACGACGCCATCATGAAGTCCCACGAGAAGCACAAGTCCCTGCTGCAGCGACGCACCTCCAGCGCCGGAAGCCGAGGGTACGGCGTGCGGTGTGGGCTCAATGTGTGGGGCCAGAGGAGCCTGCCAGGCCCAGAAGGGCAGGGCAGGAGGAAGAGGAGTGATAGGATAGCCGTCTTCAGGCAGCTGAAGATGGAGCAAGCTCAAATGAGAAGAAAGGAGATTCTGAGTTTAGGAGGAACTTTCTGGCTGTGAGAGCTGTTTGACAGTGGAAGGTTTGGACCTCTCCTTCCTGGGAGCTTGGAGGGGTTTTCCAGCTGTGATTCCTGCTTTGCAGGGGGTGGACCAGACCTTCAGGGTCCCTCCTATGAATTGATGAGTGGGGAGGCGGAGCAAAACCTCTCTGGAGGCTCTCTTCCCCCCCCCCCAATTTTTTTTATTGATTTTCCACATTTATAACAAATATAACAAAGAAAACACAGAAAAGAAAACAAATTACGATACTGAAAAAACCAAAACTCTTATTACTTCTAAAACCCAATCTAACTTTCATTGTTTTCTGACTTCCTCAAATCCCCCCTAACTGAATTTCATTGTATCACCTTGTAACAGTTCTCCAAAACCATCTTTCTAATAAAATTAACTCCTTCAGTTTACTATCATCTTCTCTTTTCTTAATAGTCTAAATCCATAATGCTGTACAACTCATTCTTATTCTAATCCTAAGCCTATTTGATACTTTCAAGTGACTTCTAATTATCTTAGGTAAAGGTAAAGGGACCCCTGACCATTAGGTCCAGTCGTGACCGACTCTGGGGTTGCGGCGTGCATCTTGCTTTATTGGCCGAGGGAGCCGGCGTACAGCTTCCGGGTCATGTGGCCAGCATGACTAAGCCGCTTCTGGCGAACCAGAGCAGCGCACGGAAACGCCGTTTACCTTCCCGCCGGAGCAGTACCTATTTATCTACTTGCACTTTGACGTGCTTTTGAACTGCTAGGTTGGCAGGAGCAGGGACCGAGCAACGGGAGCTCACCCCGTCATTGCGGGGATTCGAACCGCTGACCTTCTGATCGGCAAGCCCTAGGCTCTGTGGTTTAGACCACAGCGCCACCTGCGTCCCAATCTACTTATATTACAGTATTTAGCTAAATAATCTTTACATTTCTTCCAATCTTCTTTCTGATTGCGGATTCTCCCAGTCAGGTCGGCCAGCTCCAAAAAGTCCAACGTCTTCATCTGCCATTCTTCCGGAGGCTCTCTTTGCTTTGAGAGACTTGTGCAGAAGCGGTTCTCACCCCCTCCCTGCCCCTCTTTCTCTCGCTCTCCAGGAAAGTGGTGAGGCGAGTCAGTGTGACCGAGCGCAGCAACCTCTACCGCAAGGAGCACGAGAAGGAGGCCATCGTCTGGCAGCAGCAGGCCGAGCAGCGCGAGAGCGAGGGGGAGGACGAGGACAGGCAGACGGACGCTGAGCTCCAGCCACACGTCTTGGTGAGGGGGGGGCCTGATCCTGACTGGGGGGGGAGCTTAGCCCCTGCCCTTTTGGCTAGCCGTCCGTGTTTGCTCTCAACAGCCATGCCGCTCTGCTGGGACCCCTTGTAATAACACACCCCATTTCTATGTCTCCCCCCCCAATCCAAACAGCCTCAAAAAACGAAGCAGCTTTGCCTTCGAATCAGCTCCAGCTTGAGTTTCAGTTTAATTGGAGGACTTATGTTTTAATTACTGTATTTTTTGCTCTATAAGATGCACTTCCCCCTCCTAAAAAGTAAGGGGAAATGTGTGTGCGTCTTATGGAGCGAATGCAGGCGGTTGAGGTCAAGGCGGTGGCCGCCCCTCTGCCACCGCCATGCTGCAGAATCAATGTCCCGAACGTGTAGTAATTAATTAATTAATTAATTAATTAATTAATTAAACTGTCCCCGGATTCATTGAAAAAAATCTGTTAACCTTAGTCTAGCTTCCCCAGGATTCTGATCTCTTGGGGAAGGTCACTTTACATTTTCCCTCTGTCTGTCCTTGCACCCTGTCCTTGCGCCCTGCGGTGGTGGTGGGGAGAAGGTGCCACCATGGCTTCATCCTTCCTCCCTCTGTCCTGGCAGGACGCTGAGCCGGCCGTCGTGGTGGAGCCTGGGGAGCAGCTGTCCGAGAGCAACGGCTCAGCCCACCCCAAGCACCTCTACTCCAAGCGCCTGGACCGCAGCATCTCCTACCAGACGGCCACGCAGGACGATCCGCCAGCCGGGCTCAGCAAGGAGAAGGCGCGCCACACCCTGGCCGACCTGAAGCGCCAGCGGGCGGCTGCCAAGCTGCAGAGGCCCCACGCGGAGGACCTTTCCCTGGGCGAGGCCCCCAGCCCGGACTCGGAGCACAACTCTGTGTACTTCACGGCGGCCAGCGGGGACCCCCCGCTCCTCAAACTGACCGCCCCGGCGGAAGAGACTCCGGTGGAGAAGAAGCGCTGCTGTCGGCTGATGTGAGCCCGGAGGGAGGCTCTCCTCTTCCTCCCCGGCACCCTTTGACCCAGGCCTTGCGCCCCTCCTGGCTGCGCCTGGTGGGTGCCCGGCGCCTCTGGGGCTTGGAGGCAGCAGCCTAAGCCAGCTGCTCCCCAAGGGCTTGTCCGTGGGAGAGGCAACACCCTAGCCCGACGGAAAACCCCAGCTCCCTACAGTTGCCGGTGCAGAAATATCACCTGCCAAACTACAGTTTGGAATGCCGCAATGCATGCTAGGATGCGCAGTCCCAAGGGAACGGCTTCTCTGTGTTGGAAGGAGTCAGCTGTCGGGCAGCCCTGAGTGCTCTTGCCAGTTCTGAAGGGAGAGTCCCTGCGCTGCTGTCCTGGCAGGTCTTGGGGACGACGAACAAGGAGATTCTGCTGCGTCCATTGCGCTGGTGCCCAGGGCGCAAGTGGAGGCCAACGCCCTCGTCCCGGTGCTGTTCCAGTGGGCTGCTCTGCCCTTGCACAGGGAAGTGGCGGCAGGTTGTGGCTGCTCCAGAATCGCCTGGAGGAAGCCAGGTTTCCTGGGAAAAGGGGACACACGGAGTGAGGGGACCTGTGCGCCTCTGCAGGATCCGGTTTGCCCGAAATTATGCTGAATGTTCTCTGCGGAGTTTTCTGTGTCTCTGAAATGAGCTGAAGCGGGTGGGTTGGGTTTTACAAGGGAGCTGGGGGTTGTACTGCACCACTTGCCATCCCAGCGAGAAGGGGGGCAGGAGGGGGGAGGCACACCAACCCTCCCCAAAAAGGCTGTGTGTGGGGCGCCCCTTTCCTGCTCCGTCAGGCCCGCCCACCATGCCCTTCTCATCTTCCTCGGAGCCGATCCGTTGCAGAGAAGAAGTGCGTGCTGGGAAGTGCCAGTCGGGGAAATGGGTTTCTCCTTGGGCAAAGTGGCCCTCAGCAGCTGGAGAGTGGGGCCATTTCTGAGACTGGGGCAGTTGAGGGGCCACCTGTGCCTTGGCAGATGTGAGGAAGACAAGGGAAGGGGCTTCTCCCCATTGCCCTTCGTTCGAGTCCAGCCCTGGGCGGGTCTGGCAGAGCCGGTGTCTGTGTGCGTCCTGGTCCCTCTGGCCTCTCACTGCCCCTCAAAGCCCCGACAACGGTGACCGCAAAGCGTCCCCGGCTGCTTCCGACATGGACAGGGGAAGCAGCCGCTAATTTCCTGCTGCCTTAGATGCAGCTCTGGCCTTCTGCCGCTCTCCTGCTCCTGGGTTGAGGCTGCTCTAGCTGCGGAGCTGCTTGCTGGCCCCATAGCTGGCAAGTGGACAGGCCTGCCTCTTCAGAGGGGGGCTGCCTCTTGGGCAAAGCGCTCCTGTTTTGATAATGCCTGGCTGCCTTCAAAAGGCAGTCGCAAGCCTTGTGTCTCGAGGATGTTTCTCTCTGTCTTTACCATGTGGCCTTCGCCAGCCTTTGCACTCCAGCCCCCATCAGCCCCCAGCCGGGCTGAGATCCAGGGGGCAACCAGCTGGCAAAGGCTGCTCGTGGATTTTTCTATTACCTTTTGTACCCTCTTTTGTCTTAAAAAATTGACAGTGTTTTTCTTCTTCTAATGACTTGTTTATATTTTTCATCCTGGTGTTCCCTCTCCCTGTCTTTGATAAAGCAATAAATTCAGTGACCTCTCTCTCTCTCTCTCTCTCTCTCTCTCTCTCTGAGCATCTTCGTCAACCCACCGAGGGCTGGCCACAAGATGGGGTGGGTGCTGGGAATCCGCCTCTCTACTGAGGACCAACTTAGGTGTTTTTGGCCTTCCTTCCCCTCTGCACATGCCCAGGAGACAGCTGAATTCCTGCCAGGAGCTTGGCTGTGTTGCATCTCTCCTCCCCCACCCCAAAGGGAAAAAAGAATTCCCAGAAAAAGAAAGAGGGAGAGGAGATTTTCCTCCCCACCTTTCCCCTTTTTCAAGTTCCTCCTACAGGAAAGTGGAGAGCTCCTTTGGGTCTCCCTCCCTCCTGGGGATGCTTTGGTTGCGATTCCTGCATTGCAGGGAGTTGCACCATGTTAGGGCAGTCCATGCGGCCCTCGGGCCTTTTGGGGGGCACTCAGCAACATTTGATGCCCACCCCCAGTGCTGCCATCCCAAAGCCAGGTAAGCAAGGTGCCAGGGCTTGGCAAGGAGGCACAAGGCTCTGGTAGGGTCTTGGAGCCCTCCCTCCTGCTTCCGAAGGCATGGAAGGACCAGGCACAGGGTCTTCTCAGTGGTGGCACCCACCCTGTGGAACGTCCTCCCTTCAGATGTGAAGGAAATAAGCAGCTATCTTATCTTTAGAAGACATCTGAAGGCAGCCCTGTTTTGGGAAGTTTTTAAAATTTAATGCTGTACAGTGCTATCTCGGGTTAAGTACTTAATTCGTTCCGGAGGTCCTCCTTCTTCCTTCCCAAAGACTAGCTGCGCTTTCCATACTACTACTACTAATTTATTATTTATACCCCGCTGATCTGGCCGTGTTTCCCCAGCCACTCTGAGCGGCTCCCAGTCAAGTGTTAAAAACAATACAGTGGTACCTCAGGTTGGGACGCGGGTGGCGCTGTGGGTAAAACCTCAGCGCCTAGGACTTGCCGATCGTCAGGTCGGCGGTTCGAATCCCCGTGCGCTTCTGTCATTCGGTCCCAGCGCCTGCCAACCTAGCAGTTCGAAAGCACCTTCAGGTGCAAGTAGATAAATAGGGACCGCTTACTAGCGGGAAGGTAAACGGCGTTCCGTGTGCTGCTCTGGTTCGCCAGATGCAGCTTGTCACGCTGGCCACGTGACCCAGAAGTGTCTGCGGACAGCGCTGGCTCCCGGCCTATAGAGTGAGATGAGCGCACAACCCCAGAGTCTGGCAAGACTGGCCCGTACGGACAGGAGTACCTTTACCTTTACCTCAGGTTACATACGCTTCAGGTTACATACGCTTCACCCAGAAATAGTACCTTGGGTTAAGAACTTTGCTTCAGGATGAGAACAGAAATCGTGTTCCGTCGGAGCGACGGCAGCAGAAGGCCCCATTAGCTAAAGTGGTGCTTCAGGTTAAGAGCAGTTTCAGGTTAAGAACAGATTTCTGGAACGAATTAAGTACTTAACCCGAGGTACTGCTGTACAGCATTTAATATTAAAAGCTTCCCTAAACAGGGCTGCCTTCAGATGTCTTTTAAAGATAAGATAGCTGCTTATTTCCTTCACATCTGCAGGGAGGGCGTTCCACAGGGCGGGTGCCACTACCAAGAAGGCCCTGCCTTTGGAAGCGGGTGGCAGGGCTCCAAGACCCTGCCAGAGCCTTGTGCCTCCTTCCCAAAGCCTGGCACCGAACTTCGCTATCTCTGGGAAGGCAAGAGGGTTGAGGGGGCATCAGATTTAGGCCCCGCTCCCTGTCCCCACGCGGCAGGGCAGTGTGCGGCCCACAGGTTATGTGTCAAAGCACTTTAGCAACCCACTTGGTATGAAAAGTTGAACTAGATAACCCTTTCAACTTTGCAATTCTTTGACCTGCCATGTAGGGAATCCTGCTTCCTCAGCCCCCTGGAGGCCAGCAGGTGGAGCTGATGAGCTTCTCCTCTGGAGCAGGAGGAATTCTCCCTCTGACTCCTGTCCAGCCCTGCAGTGTAGGCTGGGCATTCTGCGTTGCTGCTGTTGTGCTTTCCCACCAAGGAGTTGCGCCTCCAGTTCGTCGGCCCAAACGAGGTCTCTCTTGCAGCAGAAAGAGGCCTCTGGTGCCCTGTGTGGCTGAGAAGAGCCCAAGATCTCTTTCCCTGCCCCTTTTGCTGGCATCCTAAAAATAATAATAATAAATTTTATTTATACTCTGCCCTCCCCAGCCAAGACCAGGCTAAGGGCGGCTAACACCAGATATAAAACAATTGATTAAGATACAAGATTAAAACACAACGTTAAAATGCAGCCTCATTTCAATAGAACCTCAAATCAGAAACTTTTGGGGGATGAAAACGTCACATCTTCACCAAGGCCAACTATTCAGACTGGTCCTACGTGGGCCAGAAAAAGCCAGGGAAGTCCCCAAGTAGGAGTTCCATCCTATGGGTTGAACCTGATTCTTACACTACGGAGCTTGCTTTGGGGTGTCGCAGCCGGGAAGCGAGGCAGGAGCTGTGAGCTGAAAGGGTTTGGCCTTCAACCCATCTGAACCACTAGCGGTTTCACCATGGAGAAAGTCCCACCCCGACTGTACAGTTCTGCGATTCTAAACCCAGCAAATTGTCCCTTGCAGAGCTGCATTTCCATGCAAGGGGTTTGTTCCCGAGCCCTGGGCTCCCCTGGGGCAGAGAACTTTGTTCGGCAGCTCTCAGGAACCCAGCGGTCACAGAGGGACCGTGCCTTCCAGTAGAAAACAGCGCCGTCTCTCCTCTTCCCTTCCTCTTCTCCTGGCCAGAGTTGCATCAGGGATGCTGAGGCAGCCCACCTTCGTGGCCGGGGCTCCAGGAAGACGTCTGGTGTGGCTTAGCAGGAGTTCGGAAACCTCGCCGGTTCCACTTTTGCACACAAACTCATTTCTGCAGGGCTTGCACCGCAGAGCATCCCTCCAGAGGCTGCCCCACAGCAATGTGCCTTTGGCCCCCAAAGTGAGGCTCTCACTTTCCCGGGTTGCTGTCTGGGGGAGGGAGTGAGGGGCTGGGGAGCTTTTGGATCGGCCCTTTTCTACCATTAAAAGTGTTTCTGGTAAAGAACCCCGACAGACGTCTGGTTGTGTTTGTGTGGGTCTCTGTACTGAGTGAAGGTCCCCCGCCTTCACTCCTGCTCCCCTCTGCACAGCTTGTGGGGGGGACAACGGGGTTACGGCTCGACAAAGCTGTGCGGGGGCTTTGCACCAGTGTGAACTGAACCCTGCTGTGAATGTTTCTCCCACTACCGCAGAGCACCGTTATGCCCTCATCATTTCCCCCCCCTTCTGTTTTATTAAATCTGCTTAGTAACATAACATTATTATATATATTCTATAAAACAAAGAATACAGAACAAAATTCATTCATACTACAATGCCTAACTAC